TTAGGGTAGTTAGGATCTGAAACCTAGTAGACTAGTAGTATATCGCCTAGTATAGTAGCATTAATAACCTCCCTAACTCGCTATAATGCTTTCGTATTCAGGTTTAGCTAGGCTAGGGATTTAGCCAAGTCCGCGACATCTTAAGAGTGCTTAGTAACAGTAGGAGTTACGGTCTTAGGACTACTTTACGATTTAGGAAGGAACTTAGGTCCCTTGCTTACTAAGGCTTCTTTCCTAACCTACGCTAGGTTATTCCGGTCTTCGCCGTAGATGAACTTCCTCGTATCGGCTATGCTATTAATATCGGCCTTAACATACACTAGGACCTCTTTGTACTTCCTAAAGCTCTTAGGATCGGCCTCGCTAAGCTTATAGCGACGGAAGATACGCTAAGCTATAGGCTATAGCAACCCTTAGAGGAGCAGCCTTGTTCTCTAAGAGTTTTCGAGGTTACTCTGTTCGATGCTATCCGCTAACTCGACAAACTCGCGGATATACCCCTTTAGGTCGTTATCCTTAGTGCGCCTTACTAAGCAGAGGGACTCGAGCTACGTACGACTGCCTTTAATACGACGGCTATCGCGCTCCCGATACTCCCTTATAAAGGCTATCTTAAAGGTCTCCTAGTTAGTATTAGACTTGTCGTCCTTTTCTAGGTAGCTAACTAGGGTTTTAAGGGTTCGGTAAAGCTTAGAGGAGGTAGTCCTCGTAAAGGACCGAATCTTGTACTAGTCGGATTCTCTATTAAGCTCGTAATTAACTAAGCCTTCCTTAAAGCGCTTAACATATGCTATAGCGTTCTACCCTTCGAATAGGGGATTTGCCCTACTCCCTAGCTCTAGCGGGCGACGCTTGTTTTAACGGAGAAGCTTAGTTTGCTTCTCTATTATTTTTATAAGGACAGTATAGAGCGCCTCTAGCGTAGAGGGCGTAGGAGGCTTACTTATATTAACTAGTCGCCGCCTAATTTCTTCGTTAATAGGATTAGGGGCGTTTTCGGATTTAGAGGATTCCGCTAATTCTCGATGTTCGTTTTCGCTAGAGCTAGAGCTTATTCGATTGTTATAAAATAGTTGAAATAGAATACTATATAAAGTTGAAATAGAATGCTATATAAAGTTGAAATAGAATGCTATATAAATATGTTTTTAGTAACTTTAGTCTGTTTAGTTTATTGTGATATTGCTATGCGAGAGAGTAGTATATTAGGCTGTTTCTCCTAGTATTACCCCTAGGGTAGCATTAGGATTTAGCCTCCTAGGGGTCGCTTAACTACCTCTAGGAGCTTAGTTTAGTAGATTTTAGACAAAAGCCGCTCGGAGGGAGAGACTGCAATCTCTATTTATACCTAGATCCTAGAAACTAGCTCGTATCTCCTTTAGCTAGGCGGGGGGGGCGGTAGCCTTCTTTTTCTAGTAGAAGGCTAAGTACTGTCTAAGCGAGGCTGCGAATCTAGGAACGCCCTACCCGATTAATAGGGGACTCCCCGGCTATCCGACCTACAATCCGTATTTGCTATTAATTAATAGTCTTAGCAAACCAAGCAAGGCCGATAGGTAATTAGTCTATCTCCTCCTTAGGCGGGGCTTATCTCGAGCAAGCGGTGCTAAATAGGTCTTCGACCCGGAGCCGAGTCCTTAGAAGCTAGCTATAGCTATAGACTAGGCCCTAAGCTGTAACAGTCCTAAGGGTTTGTAGCTTTTCGGGGTCAAAGTAATGCCCTCGTTAAGAGGTTTCTCTGCTTGTCGTAATAGCCCCTTAAGATACTTCGGTATCGTCCGTATCGTAGGCTCTTATCGTGCCCTCGCTTTAGTTATAGCTATTCGTGCCTAGAGACTACCTTTAACATACCCGAACCTATTAGATATAAAGAGATGGCCCTACCTTCGGCTCTAATAAAGGACGGAAACCAAAACCACTACTACTACCTATAGTAATAGTATAGGCTACCGAGGGTAATATAACCTATAGCAATATAGGCAGCTATGTTTAGTATAATAGGATAACAAGACGGTTGCTTAGGCTAATAACTAGAGCCCTACAATATAGGCATTATGGAAGTGTAATATAAACAATGTGCTATACGAGGTTAGTGCTCTATCTACAATGCAGAAGGAGGCCTCTTATATAGGCTTAAAACTCAGCCTAGGTATATAGGGCCAGTTACTAGCTAATACTACTATACTCGTATTTGTATTAAAATATAGCTTAGGAATTTTACGTAGTCGTGTTTTAGTGCAGATAGACGCGACGCATAATTCTAACTATCTAGGCTAGTAGCTCTATACCCTTATAGTACGCGACAAATACGGCTCTCTACGATAGGTCGCGTTCTTCCTTACGAAGACTAACGACGGTAATATTGTCGCCGCGGCGCTAAAGCAAATACAAGCCTAGACGGTCGATGCTACTAATCTAAACGACTATAGTTAGATAGTAATCTTCTTCCTTATAGACGACTCGGCGGCAGAGCAGCGTACTATTACAATCGCGTTTCCTACTATAAAGTACCTTCTTTACTATATATATATTAAACGGACGTTAGATAAGCGATTTAAGAGCGAGAAATATACAGATACGAAGCGGTACCTATATGCCTTCGCCTTCTCGAGAAGAAGCCGTAAAGGCGCTCTCGAGTTACTTAATTTAGTAAGGGCGAGTCTTCTACGCGCTACGCGTAAAGATAGCACCCTCGTACTAGAGAGCGACGACGACGACTATTAGTTAGACCTCCGCTATTTATAGAAAGAGCTTGAAGACAATATAGCGCTAATTTGTAAGCACTATCGTTGCGCTGTCTCTAGCGCGCCTACCGTCGTCGAACAGATATTAAATACTAACTAGCTCGAAGGCTAGCATTTAGTGCTTAAATACGGCGAGTTTAAGGCTATTATAAAGCGCGATTATATACTTAAAGGGACGGCAATGCGAGTGATTAAGAAGTTAGCTAAATACGACCTTCGAGCCGATAACGATGCCTTCGTAGCGCGTACGAAGGTCTATCTACGGACAACCGATAGTAACGAGATTGCCTACTTCTTTCTACGACTTCCGTAGAAGCTTTAGTAGGTAATTAGCGCTAAGATTAACTACGCCGAAGATCCGGAGGTATATTATAAGTAGAAGCCTATATCCGACGACCTAACCTGCGACTACAAATTCTTCCGTTAAAATAGTGTCCTTTATCGCTATATTTAGTCCGCTTATAAAGCAATAGAATACAGGCTAATTAAGACATGTAATTACGACCGCTAGATAGCTATATTTAACGACGGTAGACTTAACTGTTATAATAACCTTCGTACGCTAACCGCGCCCTCAAATTGCGACTATACGACCGTACCTACTTACTAGCTTCAATTCTGTAAGCTTTATAATAATATGCGACAACTGCTATATAAGATTAAAGAGCGACTAACTACTAAAGGTAAGCCGCTCGATAGTCCTCGTCGCGACCGCGTTATTAACAACTTTATTAGTCTTGTCTACAATATTAGCGGCGAGTTAAGATAACGCGCCTTATCGCTGTTAGTAGACGACTATAATAATACTACGACCGGCGCTAAGATTAACCTTACCGCGCGCGCGAATCCTATACTATTACAACTTCCTATACCTCTAGAAATACTATTGTCCTTCTGCCGTCCGATTATTAACTAAAATATTACTATTAACGCGACCGCCGTAGACGCGATAGTCGGCAAGAGTAAGAATAAGCGGAGGGCGTAGGGTAGTAGTAGTAGTAAGAGGAAGAGTAAGAACGCGAGGTAGGAGCCTAAGATTGCGATAGAGAACGCGACAATACCTTAGCGAACGCCGCTAGCGCTAGTTAACGCGAATGTCTATATAAATTTGTATAGAAACGCGACTTAAATCGCGCCTAGTATTCTATATAGTATTGCGCTGCCCTCTAACTAATAGTAGCAGTAGTAGTACTAGCTCGCACCTCTGCCTATAGGCTTGTTCTACGACAACTATAGTATTATATACTACTAGGGTATTAATAGGCGCGCCTACTATACAGATCTATTAAGTCTATAGTCTATAAGTAATACTTCTATATATATTTCTACTACAACATAAATAATACCTTAGATTTAGCTATACCGCTGTTTTGCTAACAAACTTTAGCTATATTTCTAGTAATATACCTAGTATCTATTAGTAGAGAATGCGGGGTCGTTAAAGTCTTTTAAAACAGTGCGAAATCTATTAAATTGCGACCGTACGACCTCTTACTATCGACCTTTAGTATACTAGCGGAAATCGCACTACTACTCTTACTGCTACTACGGTCGACCTAGCAACTACGACGCGTAGCGACGACGAGATCACGTTTTCTATAGTCACGTATACTACGGCGCGGACTTCTATATCTCACCGAGTCCGCTGCGGCAGGAACTTGCCGGCGTAGCGTATCCTAGCGCTTTAGGTATTATACGGTTTGCCAAATGGTGTGCCCTGCATGTATTGTTGGAGCAGATCCGTTGGCGTCACAAGAGGATGGCCAAGGTATAGTTGGAAACTCATGGAGGAGCAAGTATCCTAAGAGCCACGAGTGCATTGCATATGATCTTGTACCACCCACGTTGTTGTCCAGACCAGAGTATTGCACGAGTCAATCATCAATCGATCAATTACTGCTACTCCTCATCAACAATCATGGCGACTACCAAGCACGATGAAGAGAAACCTTTTCTTGAACCCGTCGACGAGCAATACGTTCCGCAAAACCCTCCGAAACGACGAACATGGACCAACTCGAGCACATTCCACTACATCCTCTTCGTTATCCACGCGGCATTCATCGCTGCCAATGTCGGACTCTTCGTTCTCAATACCTATAGCGAAGTTCCAAGCTCAACAAGCAAAGTACATGTACCCTTGGCCGGAGATGAAGTCGAAGACCCATACTGTGAGTAGAACTAGAACATATCATATCGGAATTCCTCGACTTCAACTGACATCCGTGTGACCTCACAGCTCCTGCCCACTCCATCATCAAACACGAACTCCGAACCCTCGATCTCGAACCAAAAGACAGTCCGTTCCTGGGTTTACCTCGACGGGAAGTCGATGAAGCATGGTCTAACCTCCTCGCACCAAGCATGGTCGAAATCTCCAAACGCGAAATGCAAACCATGAACAAAACCTCCGTCAAATTAAAAAATTCCGAGGGTTATGTGGGATATTTTGAAGTTTTCCATCAACTGCATTGTTTGGTAAATACCTCATCAACACAATCACCCTTCCATAGAAGTTAAAGGCTAATGATAGTTGGTCATTCGTCTAGAAACGTATATACCAAATGCACCATCAATCCCATTACCCCGACCTCTTGAACTCTGGTCGTTTGACGCTTCCACATTGGGGTAAGTAAGCCTCCACACATCCAACCACCCTCCTCATATCATACCCTCATACACCCTCATCTTAATCCTAACCTTCGCTCTTCTATTCCAGAACACTGCCTCTCAGTCCTCCGCCAAGGTCTCATGTGTAAACCAGACCTTACGTTGAATACGGTGGTCTGGGACGCCGAAGCTCCGACTGGTTTGCATGGATTTACGCGGCATCAAAGACGTTGTGTGAATTGGGAGAGTTTTAAAAGTTTTGCGGATGAAAGGGCGATCCCTAGTCCGTTGGAGGAGTTTGTTGTTGAGAGGGGTGGGGTGGGGGTTTTGGGCCTTTTGGGGAGGGGGAGTGATGGGTGGGTGGGGGTTTGAGGGAGTGAGTTTTGCGATGGGGATGTGTGCTTTAGCGATGTGTAGTTTGGCGATGTGAATGATATATGCTACCTACTGTGAATGTGAAGGATTCAAGATGAGATATCGAAGGTGGATGGAAGCTGTCTGTGTCTGGATGGATCGACAGGACTTCTGAGGGAAAGTCGTAAGGTGTACGCCATGTATTTTTGCCAAATCTTGATCCTCCATCGAAGGGTAAGTCACAAGGCCTACGAGTTGTATTCCTGCCACATCTCGATCCATCGAAGGCTCGAGCCTGGTTGAAAAACGTGTGTGTGTAAGCTGCCAGGCCATCTCTATTCCAGCTAGTCCCTTGCTGTTTTGAGCGCAAGGAGCTTTTTTCTGTGGTAGATGGGCTCTTTCCAACCATTCTCAGCGTGCTTCTTAGCGTGGCAGATAGGTAGGCTCAGCTCTTTCCGTCCAACCATTCGGTTCAATATCGGACATCCACGCCATCGACACTAAACTCCTTGCGCCCACTCCTTCTACACACTAGACTAGGTATATGCAGAAGATCCCGAAAGTGCCGATCGACGCTAAAGTTGACGTCAAACGTCAAATGGAGATGGAAGTTACAGTGGAAGGTGGAGGGTGAAAGGAAGTCTACAAGAAGAGCTCGAGAAGGAGGTAGCTGACAGGATCGATTGGACGATGAGGAGAGGAGAGCGTCGAACGGTGTAATGTTACATCCATCTCCTTCTGCTCTTCCTGTGCCTTGCGCAAGTCACCGACGTAGGCTGGTCGATGTCGCGCGTGTCCGGCTTGACTGTGTTGTTATCTGGACTCTTCTGATCTCCCTCGACTCCTTTCAGACGCTCCGTAGGTGCCTGTTTTGCAAGAACGGCTCCAACGGAGCCTCTTATGCCTTCCGCTGGAGGTCTGAGTGGAGACAGAGCTCGAGCAGGATCTTCTGAGGGTGACGTCTGTCCGTTACGATGAGCTTTGACGGAACATATTAGCCTCAACGACGAATTGGCGAGAAGAGAGGCCCCTCGACCGTCCGAGCCCACTTTGTCAGTGTTGCCAGAGACAGCAGAACGTGAAGTACATTGTTTGGTTCTGCTGGGACGAACGAGATTGTGACAAGATGATCCACAAGGCATCAACGAGCGACCTGAGGACAATGTTAAGCACCGAGGAGGTGATTGAAGCAGTAAACTACGACGACAGCGAGGCAGAGCGTCGAACAGCAATCTCGAACACTGCGACGACAGCCAGGTGCGAGGCAGGAGGGCGGCAAATGCCGTCGACCACAGGTGAGGGTTGTCTTCGGCCGGAAGTAAAGACGGCTCTCATGGTATCGTCTCACATCATCACTGGCGAAAGTGCTTCGTGTAAAGAGTTTTGACCAGGGAATTTGCTACAGCTTTCCTCCTTGCAAGGAGGTAGATGAGAGCAAAGCGTCTCCCGCACGCAAGGGAGCTGCATCGAGGTATGATCGAATGAATGAATGAATGAATGGAGTCATGCGGTCTCAGGAGAACGAAGGGTTGGTTTAATTTCAATCACAGTTGAGCGCCTCGATGCAACAAGTGCATCTCGTCGTTCCTAAATACAGAAAAGAGATTCACATCATCAATCTTCCTGCTCCCCATTTCCTTAGCATCCTCCCAGGTAAGCACAATACCGAGAATAACCACTCGGCAAACGGAAGCGTCCGTTAGCTGTAAGGACTCATTCAGTTGGCCACGAGCCTCCTAAACTCCAATCCGTGTGTTCCTGCCATAGTACGACAAAAATTTGTTCATAGAACGATGCCGAGTCTAGAGTTGGTCAGCACTGCCTAGACGCTGCGGATCAAAAATTCATACCTAGCAGCCGCTGCAGGACGGAAGGCTTAGCTGAGAACACTTATAAGCATGGCACGAGCATGAACTGATGGCTCATTAGTAAATTTACGAACGATCTCGACTACAGTGCGTCTTCCTGAGGTATACTACTTACCCACTACCGCAGCAGTTTGGAGCGGCCTCTCCGCAAGCAGCAAGACCGAAGATATTGCTAGTAAAGGAGGCTACTAGGAGAGTGAGGAGGAGGGTGATCGAGAAGTTCTGCATCTTGTGTTTTTGCTTGTGTTGTGCTTGGGCTTTGCAATCGTAAAGGATGATATATTGTTGTTATAGAACGAAAGGAAGAGAGGAAGAGAGAGATAGAGAGAGCTATATATATGTATGTATACAGCTCCACGAGTTAGCATGCTCAACTTCACTATATCAAGGGTTTCAAATATCTTGCACTGCCTAAAAGAGGAAGGCTGGTTTGCGAGACGAGTTCTAAGATATCACGCCCTGTTTTTTTGTCTCCTGAGTTTATATGTATAATAATTCAACTCGATGGTCTGTCTATAGCTACTTAACTCGTTTTCCGTCATTACTATTCTGTTTCGAAGAGCAATTGACGGTCGATTCGAATGGTGAAGTATACATTTCGAGACCTGTAGGCGTAGGACGAATGTCGACTCGAACACCAATGCATTGCTACCACTCGAGGATGATGTAATGTACGGGGTGAACAACTGGTAGACCAGCCGTGTTAGCTAGGTTCCGAAGCTTCGAGATGTGCCGGTGTGGCCCCCCTGCAGCTTTCCAGGCTGGAAGTGAATGTCCGCGAAGTCCGCGTCGTATTGTCGAACGTCGCAGCCTAGTTAGTTGCAGTGAAGGATGCTGGTGAACTCACCAGGCCGGAAGTTCGGCTCACCACCCGGCAAGCGCAGCATACAGCGTATACACGAATCGAAGGGCTAGAATATAACAGCGTAACAGTCAAGCCGAGGTGTCAATTGGCCTAGGCCCTTGCCAGCCCAGAATAGGGAGAAATTGGTAGCCTTCCGATACGTCCAGACACTGTCGTGATTTCCACGTTGTCTCTGTAACCTAGCCTTGATCGATCAAGATCGATCAATATGACAATATCTAGCGATGATCTTTTTTTTGAACTAACTGCCGAGCTTATGCTAGTTGATACTGTATATCAATAGTGGGGGTTACCGTGTCTTGTTGTGCCCAGATCGCAGAAGCTAGATGGTAGAAGCTGACAGATCGCAGAAGCTCTACCTCGATTAGGTGAAAGGGGACAACAAAAGTCCGTCTATAGCTTGCGATAGTTCTAGAACCTTGGGGACAGTAGGTATGCATTACAAGGATATTCTCAGAGCCAGTGGAACTTGCCTATATAGTCTAGCGAAGAGTGCGAATTGTCGCGTGGCTCTGAAGTATTACCATTGTGTCGCCGTGCATTATTATTCTGTCGCCGCCGTGCATTCTGTCGCTGCTATACATTGTGCCGCCGCCGTATTTGCTGTCGTCGTTGTATTATGATATTATCGCATTCGGCACGTAATTTGTGTTTTTGATTTCTAGAACTACTAATAGTAGGATTAGTAGCTCGGCACGTAACGTTTCTTTTTGATTTCCACCAATTAGAGGCCGAGCTAGATTTTGTAAGAGAGCGCCCTTTAACAATTGAACCCTCGCCTAGCCTCCTACACAACCTAAGGCAGAATTCTGATCGTTATTTCGCACTCGCTCTAGACACCTGCTATAACTCTCGTCGCAAGCTCCTGTATATGGCAGTCTATGCCCAAGAGCCTCTGTAGCCTTGGCGCATAATCTCAGATCATTCTCAAGTTGTTGCCGGCCGAGATTACTAGGTGTTGCCGGCTAAGATTACCATTTGTTGCTGGTTAAGATTACTAGTTGTTGCTTGCTGACAGATGCTCGCGTAAGTACCATTCCAGACGAGCATTGACATGGCTTGTTGCAATTTTGATACAGGGTCGATGACTCGATGCACGGCCGGCATAAGCGATCCTTCCGCGGATGCTCTGTTGCTACGACCGCTGATACTAGGGGAAGATAGCATCTGCAAAGTCCAACACGTTGAACACGAAGAGCTCTCACATAGGGGAAGGAGTAGCCATGCAGCTTTCAGTATCTCGCAGGGCTTGTTGCGGCGTTCCGGCGCCGTCTATGACCAGTCGAATGCAAAGTTCAAACTTTGTGCTGCGGACGCAAACCTCAACGCTGAGACTTCTGATCATTGGGGATGTTGGTATCTTCTTGTATGCAGGTGGTACCCTGTATACATTATGATGATGACACAGGGCACGGAACGTCAACAGTCAACTCGTATACCAGACTCCTATCCGGGGTTTCGTCAGTCGCACTCAACTCCGCGGTCGCGGGGACCTACAGAGGCTCTTGTGCATAAACTGCCATATACAGGAAGCCGAGACAAGGCTGGATAGTAAGAGGGGTGAAGTGGGCTGACGCAACCCCGGATAGTCATCTACAGAGGGTCACCGTAAGTCCGGGACCACTTTGCATGTGCTTTTCTCTATAGCAAGATGTGTACCAACTTTGCTGGGCAAAGGGAAGTTGAAGGATTCTTCCGTAGAGCGGCTTTCTGTATACAGTATGCTGGTATGGTATGGCCGTAAGGGTGCCGCCGCCCGCGTCCTTCATCGCGAGGAAAGTGGTGATGAGTGCGATGTGCCTCGATCCTCAGCTTCCGGCACTGCCAACTGGGACAGTGCCGCCGTCTGGCTTTCTGCCTTTCTGGTCGTTTGGCCGTCGGGCACCGGCCTTCACCTCCAACAGCGCTTGCTGAACGCTGGAATCTCTTGCTGCGTGGACATGTGACGTGATCTTTCTACCACTTCACTTACCCACCCGGTCCAACCATCATCTCGCTACTCACCGCCCTCTCCCGCATCCACCCTTGCACCTTGTCCCAATTCACACATTTCTGCACACCCGGTTCTCGATGCTTCACAACCATTGTCTCCCCATCCTCCCCAGGCACCCAAACAAGCGTATACAAACTCGTATCCATATGACACATCATGCTCTGCAACAAGAAATTCAAACAATGATCCGCGTGATATTGCAGATACTCATAATGTGAACTCCCGATTTCGACTTCTGGGTAGAAATGATGGAAATACAAAAATTGTTTGAGTTTTTTGACGCAGTGGATGTTGTGTGCTACGCCTAAACCGCCGGCGTACTGCCGGGTCGATGATTTCAAGGGTATGGAGGTTGTGTTGGCGAGGTCGAGTTCGGTTTGGGAGATTGAGAGTAAGGTGTTGTTGAGGAGGTTGGACATGCGGGATTCCCAGGCTGGGTTTGGTTTTCCGACCATTGTTGTGTCATTTGCGACGATTCTGCGGTATTCGTATTCGATTGCATTGTTGACTGGAGCTGGATGGAGTGTTAGGAGAGTTTGGCTGTCACTTCAGTAATTTATGCCTTACAGTATGGTTCAGGAATTGTGGATGTATCGTCATTCGTCTGCTTAAACGCCAGCAAGAACACCAGAAAGAGACATGCTTTGAGGAGTATCGCGTTCGTGACGACAGATATCCATAGCCATCTTTGCTGTTTTCTTGGGCATTTGGGCAATCCTGATCTCTCACTTCCCAGTTCCGGATGTCTGTTCCTCTTCTCTTCTTCAAGAAACGGGATCTCCTCATCGAGCTCCATCTTTACTGTGTCTGGGGTGTGTTCGATGCCTAGCAGCTTGGAAATCGAGCTCCGCTACACGACTTTGCCCCTGCATCTCTTGCCCGCACCACGAGCTCGAACTCTGAGCAACAACCCTAAGCCGTTTGATGACCATGTGGCTGGACATAGCCGCACGCTGCTGGAGAAGCATAAAGCGGACCGGCGCGAAGTCTAAGAATCCTTCAGATCGGCATATTCGGAAGATCCTCTTGGATCCTTCGGGCTGTTTCTCACTTTCCGGTTGGCAGATTCGGCATGGATGGAAGTTGCAACAGGGACTGTTGCACACCGAGGGATTCGATGACGGCAAGTTTTGCGTGATCGAAACCGAAGGATCAACACGATTTGCCCTCAGCCATTGGCCACATTTGAAAAAGCTGTGCCTTTTTCGTCCAGCAAAGCTACACCTTACCCACTTCAGCCTCGGTGGGATATTTCTGTCGGATTGATCAGCTTTGCTTATTTGACGCCATTCACACGCGAGTCCTCAGATCCCCGTTGTTTGTTCCTGATGCAGGATGTCGTTGAGAAGTATTCTAAATGCCGCCGTTGCCGTAACAGTGGTATGCAGCTACCAGTGCGGAGAAGCTGAACCAGGTAGGTGAGCCTTGAAGTCATTTGGGATTTTTTGGGATGGCCACGCGCTCCAGACGCATGTTCCTAGGTGGGTAGTGGACTTCCGCTACATCTTTGGTTGGGGCCGTGTCAGCGCGAATCTCTGCCGATCAGGGCGATGTAACCAGTTGGTTGTGGGCGGCGTGGAGTCTGCCATCGTGGCAAGGTCGGCTAGAGGGAGAGCTATTCAGATAAGACTTGTAGACGTTGGCGGTCCGCATGTCTTATGTATCTTCTTCACTGTCCGATGCTCCGTTGGAACCTTCATCTTCACACTCACTGTCCGATGCTCCGTTGGAACCTTCATCTTCACACTCACCGTCCGACTTGAGCATTGCAACAACCAAACTTGCCGAGTAAGACCAAATCAAAAGTGCCCATCATGACCTTCCTCATGCTTGCGCTTGCGTTGATCCAAGTGGCCATGGCCGCGCCGGTCGTCATTGAACCCCGTAAGAACGTGCCGATTTCGAGGTTCGAAAACATTCAGCTAAAGATCATCAAAGACAATACACAAGCTTCCGATGCGCTTTCAAGACGAGACGGTACCACTGAGTTCGATCCTGATGCTGTCTATAAGACCAGGAGAGATGGTACGACCGAGTTTAATCCTGGTATGGAGCCTCGCAAAGCAACAAATTGGATCGAATGCTGACTCTGTGCCTCAGATGCTGTGTACAGGAGAGACGGGACTACCGAGTTTGATCCCGATGCGGTTTACAAGAGGGACAGCAGCCGTATAGCCTTTGAGCATGATTCCATCTTCGAGTAGAGAGTCAGCCGGGTTGGGGACGCTCCAAGCAGCTGGCACAGGATGCAACATTGGCGGTGCATGGAAGCTTTGAGGCTCAGTCGTATCCTGCGAGAGCATTTGCAAATGACTGGTCCATGGCGTGGGAATGCTTTATTCGCGGCGTTTGGGTGGATACCGAACCCTTCGATTTTTGTATACCACACCCAGCTAGACACCAATGATGATGATCATTTAATGACCATCATGAACACTAGTAAATCATTCCTAGTCGATGGAACCTCAAGCTTGTGTCTGCGTGCATTCGCGGGCTCTTCTCCATAGCCGTCCAAGTCATGGCCGTACTGTTATCGATGCTGGCTTGACGCCTAGGCTTCCAGCTGGCTTGTATTGGAGAGTTCAAGTGCCCATTGAGAGCGTTAATACGTCGTAGGCTTCGCTGACTTCGCGTCGAGCATCGAGAAAGGTCATGTTGGTTCACAAGACGGCTTCCAGTGCAAAGGGAGTGAACCTTGCGGAAATATTTCGGCCGGATTTGAGCCGAGCTTTCCTCCGGCTCGACATTTTCTGGAACCTGCATTTCCTGTGCTGCTACATGGTCATCCACACTCCAGCATAGCGGATATGGCCAAGGCAAAGAAGCGAGGTAGATATTTAAAATCGCACAACGTTATGAGAACACCTCTAACATTTTCGCAGAAGTCTCAGTGCACTCTCGCGCTGCCCGCCGCGGTGAAGCACCACCTTCAAAGGACCTGCTCACAAGCAAGACTCCTGCTGAGCAAAGCGACTACAAGCCATGGCTACACAGCGTGCAGAACTCAGGCATCCAGAAGAAGCAAAAGAAACAGCAGCTTACCAGAGCTCAGAAGCTGCGCCAGCAGAAGGGGATGGAGCGAGCCGACGAAAATGCTGAAAAGCTGGAAAAGAAGATCGCGGATAGTAAGAAGCGAGGAAAGGCTGTCAAGAGCAGGAATCCGGACTGGGAGGAGCTGAATGGCAAATTGGTCGCTGTGAAGGAGGCGCAGCGGGATGCTCTTGCGACAAATCTTGCCAAGCTGAGAGAGGATAGTGGCATGGAGGAACGGGATCGCGACGGCGACGAACAGATGGTGCCAGATTTGGAGCAGCCACTGCCGATTCGAAGTACAGAGATGTCTGGAGCTGAGGAAGAACCATCAAAGCCAGCTCAAGCAATATCTGGAGCACCGGCTTGGGTGTCGCAGCACGCTCAGCCGGAAGATTTGGAGGACATTACTTGAGACATTTTTGGACTTTATGACCTCCAAAGTTCTCTACAATCCCCTGGACCGAAGACAACAGTAATGGATCAAACCAGCCAAATGCTGTGTACCACCCAGGTCCTGCGGCACAGCTCGCGCGGCTTGTTGCCAGAACGAGAGCGGTACCGATCGCGTGGCATCCCTCATGCTATCGCGCTTTCATGAGCAGATGAGGATAGATAAATTGGCTACAAGAAGGCTAGACATGGTCTATGAGTTGTGCATTATGAGCAAGGATGCACCTGCCTTCGGGACGCTCAGCGCAGACACCAGCGCCAAGCCAAGCATGCCTCGAATGAGCAGAATCGATTCTTGGTGCGCTTCTTCGCGTTACCACGAGAATTGCATGTATGCACTGTGCATGCCACGAACAAAGCCTTCTGCCTGATGGTAGATAGACCAATGGTCATCTATCAAATGCTTTGACTTGTACTGTAGCTGCCACGACTGCATTATGTATGCCTGATGCGAGAACGACAAGGCTGCAGCTCCTACGCCAAAGGATGCGGAGCTAGAACGACCAACAACTTATACGTGTTTAGAGCTCCTCTCATTACTTGAACGCCTGGCAAGCCTTCACATTATTTACTTGTTTAATGAGGCCGAGTCACATTCTATGCCTCTTCACGTCATTGACAATGGAGTCTGCTAGTGCTTTCGACAATCGGAGCTCAAATCCTCTCCTGCGCCTTCCTCCAGAAATACGCAACCGCATCTACGGACTCGTTCTTCCAATAGAGAATATCTTCAACGTGGAGTTTGGAAGTATCTATACGTACGAGTCGGCAATTCAAGAGGGTACAGGATATCTACAGTTCTACGCATCTGATCGCATCTACTGGCCTTGGCTCTTCACTCTCACAAACCCGTCCCACTCCACAGGAACGCCATCACAACGAACTCGCCTCATTGCCCTAACTCAGACATGTCCCATAATCCGAGACGAAAGTTTGCGTTACTTCTATGGCAACAACATCTTTCTCCTGCGAATTGGTGACGACTTGAGTGATGACTGCAATGGCAATAGATCAAGTCGACATTTTGAAACTTGGGTTCGCAACCGACCTGACGCAGCGATAGGAGTATTGAGATTGCTGATCGTCCCTCAATGGAATTGTCAACACCAGGAACGACTTGGTCCAGAGATAGGGACATGGAACCCTTCGAGATCAACTTTGGCACCTGCACCATGCAACCCCGGAAGATTATGAACAGCGACGCGATCGAATGCGAGACCTGTTCCAGTGGGATGGTGTCGAAACTGAACACTTTCAAAGTCACCCCGGTCAGAAATGGCCAGGAAGCAGCTCGACTTCTTAAAAATCTCTGGCTTCACATTCGACCTCAGGAACCTTGGTCACGATGGACTTACCGAGTCGTATCACGTAGACTTGTATGGCACTTCAGCTGGGCTTATATTTTTTCCCTGCAGTTGCTATTCGGGGTATGCTTCCTCGGTGAACATATCCGGAAAAACTACATCAGCGAAACGGTCCTGGACAGATACTGCATCCGACCTCTGGTTCGCTGGGCAACTTACTTCTTGCTACTGCCTTTGAGGTGGGGGATCTTGATTGCATGCCTGATGACTGATCCTAAATTCTACGCAAAGGAGGCGATGCGGTAGGCAAGAAGGCGTTGGGAGGAGACTATGTAGATTCGCAGCAGCCAAACTTCAAATGCCAATCTTTGGCGCCTCCAAAGACACTATCTACAACATTAGCTGTGTAGATAACCACGGCCTATCAGGGAGCGAGTGCGCAATAGGAGCACACAATAATGTGTGTAAGGCCCCTTCCATTATCACGGGAGTCCCGACGCACTTCATTTGGAACGCCACTACCGAAATCAACATGGTGTTTAACAGTACAAGTCAGATTGTGACCATTCTCCTCCTTCGCGTTGTGGTACTTTCAGCTGAGTGGAGAACCGAGGCTGTGGAGTTCTAGACCGCGTGCTCGCCTGCCCTGAAGAGGAGTCGTGTAGTCAATCAACTTTCACATATCCGTGACTTTGTCTTCCAGACACATGCTCAGCTCAGTACCTTGACTTGCAACCTTACCAATTCCGCGAGGATAGCCCGGCACGTTCTCACCCGAAGATGGAAGTCACGACAGCACCTCATGTGAGCGCCAAGAACCCATCCAACTTGACCTTACACAGTACTGATGATGACAACTCGTAGACAACATATCGCAACGTCGGCAAGGGGGCCGTGGATTACATCAATCGCCACATCGACCTCCCAATCCACATCGAAAACATCTCCAACACGGAACCCTCAATTCCCAAACCAGACTCCCAATACCAATCCCTCCGCTCCAAAAACAAATTCACATCCCCCCTCCTCCACCTCCCAAGAGAACTCCGAGACATAATCCTCACCTTCATCTCCGACGCCTCCCCACCACCTTTAGACGCCCGACGGTCTCCCCTTCCCTCCTTGTTATCCGTAAGCTCCCAACTCCGCGACGAATTCGCGCAAATTTTCTATTCGCGAAAACTCATCCTAGCGGGCGGCGCCCCATCTCCTTCGTACGAGAAGAAATTTTTCCAAGGTTTTTGTCAGGCGCATAAAAAGTATGTGAAGAGGGTGCATTGGTTGTGGGATTCTTATGGGACGAAGGAACAGGCTGTGGCGAGGGCGAGGGAGTTGGATGCGGTGAGTTTTATGCAAGAGGGGACGTGGACGGTGGGGTATATTGATGGGTTTGGGATTGAGGAAGGGAAGAGGTGTGCGAGGTATGTTGATGCTTTTGGGACGTTTAGGGTTGCTGGGTGTGTGTAGTGTGGTTGATTTGTTGCGTTCTTCGGGGTTTGGGGAGAATTTTCGAGATATCGACAGTATTGAGACTATAGAAAGTATTTACGAGCAATTGTCCAGTGCATGGTTGCCGATGAATCGATCCTTTGGGTTTCCTTGGCGTTGCAGCGGTGTTGTGCTTGAGTCTGGTATATTTGCGAGCCTCTAATTGTCTCCAAAGCTGGTGGGCTAGTCCTATTATTTGCGTCCTTAGGCGTAATCACATCGATCGGGAGCCGTGGGCCTTTTCGGGACTTGAGAAGCGAGGAGTAAGACGCCGGTCCGGCATTTCTTTAGTTCCTGTTAGCACTCAGCAGGTTCTAATCATCGACATTTGATTTAGCAACCATTGGCACGTCCAAACTCGGAAAGGTTTGGTGTAACGAGACACTGGCCGCTGTTGTAGTCGCGAGATGCTTCTCGACGGAAGCCTACTACAATCCGTGGAGAGGCAAGAGCGGTCTCTTGAACCCCGCAAATGGTGCAGGTCTAGAGAGCATATTTTATACTGGAACTTTGGTGGCTGTGACCCTGATCAGCAGAACAATCGTCATCGGAAGCGAAGACCAGAAGGTTAGTAGATATGGCGGGCTCTGCAGAAAGTTGCTGTACACCACAGTGCCTCCAACTCGCCACCGGATGTATGCTCTGATACTGAAACCATCGGGGCCGGCACTCGTAAGTTCGTAGCAATCAAGTCTCTTCATTTCGTGGCAGCTGTCTGTCTGGGCTACCGAAGGCTGGCACTGTCTCGAGCCGCCATCACGGCTGAACGCTGGACATCGTGCCTCATCATACCTCTGCTCCTAGTGTAGGAAGCAATCCCATTCCCATTGCCTTGCGCCATGGATACTGCATTGTGCTCAGAGTATGCATCCCGAAACGAATCGCTTAGTCGCTAGCACCGCCAACAGCTCGAGCTGGGGAAAAGGCCAGTGTCAGCCAAAGCCCATCCAAAGCGCTGAACATTGCACCGATGTGCATGACACAGATTGTACTCACTGTAAATGTTACCCGCGCTGTGAGCGACAACCTTCTTGATGACTCCCCTCTCCTCCAAGTCGTTCAGGGCCTTGCGCGCTAATGAGCCGTTGATCTTCAGTCTGTCGACGAGGACGGCGACGGTGATGAGGCGGTACGACTGCACATCCTTCTGCAGCTTCTCGTTGGTGTTCTTGTCGAGCACGACGGCGTGGTTGGCCTTGTCCTTGACTGTGGAAGAGAATCTGTGTTAGCGATATGTGCGTGCGGTGCGGTGTAGTGCAGTGCAGTATTTGGCGGTGCGCGGGATCGTTGGTGATCGAATGGAGAGAGTCGTACCCTTGCCCTTGGACCACTTCTTCTTTTGCTTCTTGCCTCCGGTTGCTGCTGGCGCCATGGTTGCTGTGTCTTGTGCAGTGGTCGGAGAAGTCGATGCTCCAACATCAAGCGAAGTGACTTCCCATTTTCGAGCGCCAAGCCAAGTGGGCAGTCGTCACGTGAAGTGAGAAAGTCAGGCACGAATTCAGGCTCGCAATCACATGCCGTTAGCTCTACGGAGATAATCCAGCCAAGTGTCTGTACAACCAAACCGCGTCTCGCTGACTGAGGCTTTCACCAGCAATGCGATACGTCGATCACCGATAGCAGAGATGTATCATCTCGTCAAGTCACTCTACCTCCACGCGACCAGCAAGGAAGAATATTCGATTCTCCTGCTCGGACTCGACAATGCCGGCAAAACGACCCTGCTCGAACAGATCAAGGCATTGTACAACCCAGCACATGAAGCGAAGCTGAAGACTGTACCGACAGTGGGCCAAAATGTCAGCTTGATCGATATGCCAGAGCTCTACCTGCGCATCTGGGACGTCGGTGGGCAACATTCATTGCGAAATCTATGGCACAGCTACTACAGCAGCTGTCACGCGATTGTCTTCGTGATTGATAGCACGGACATTGGCGACGCCGACATTGCGCGTCTTTCGGAGAAAGGTGCTTCAGACGACGAAGGGAGACTGGGAGAATGCAAGTTGGTGTTGGAAGACGTGCTGCAAAACGAATCGACCGAAGGAGTACCCGTGCTGGTACTCGCAAACAAGCAAGATCGAGAAGACTGCGTAGAGGTTGTGAGGATCAAAGAAGGCTTAGTCAGAAAGGTATTCGAAGGCGAGAAGGGGCAGAACGTGCGAGACAGCAGAGTCCTGCCGTTGAGTGCCTTGACCGGTACCGGAGTCAAAGAGGCTGTCGAGTGGTTGTGCTCAAGAGTCAAATGGAATAAGGAAGCCAGGCCACCAGTCATGCGCTGAGCGGTATATTATCATGACTGCCTGCCAAAGTCTTACATGTTTCTGGGGTGAAGGCGCATCAGGTGTCTTCTGCCCGTGAAGGATCATTGCTTGGGCGCATCATGGCATTGCCATCTCCGAGACTCTGACTGCTTCGAGGTCGCATCGCAATGCAACTGGTCCAACGCAACGCAACGTCCTTACGGAGAGTCCAGTATCAGCTTGACTCTACTGGAAATGCAATAACGAAACCGCACCAGGCACGACCTCCGCCAAGACAACAGCGCGCCGGTGAAAATTGCCATCTGCAGCAGGCTACCGAGTGACTCTCACAACGCTCAGCACCATGGAGATATCGTTGACGACGCAGAGTGTTATGCCGCAGCGTACAGGAATGTATAGATGGGAAGTCTTGCAGCGTGATACCAGCGCGTAATGCGTGGATGCCGAACAGGCCACCACAGACCATGACATCGATCGCATTCGGCATGCAGCATTATCACACGCGGAAGGCATTGATGCTTGATCATGTCCAGTGCGCTGGAAACAGCAGCTCCTTCATGTTTGATTGGAGCTGGCATGCGTCACGCTAAGCGATGTTCGAATTTCTGGCGGTGCCGATGTCCTCCACCTTAGCATGGGCGAGCACCGCATGGATTTGCGAATGCCCATTCAACCTGGCAGCTCGCAGGTCATGGATCGTGGCATGGAGTCATCATGGAGAATCGGAACGCAATGTTATGTCTGCCATAGATTTTCCATGTGGCTGCTGGAGAGTCGGTGCTCTCCTCGAACTGGTCACGTCACTGATTCCTGGCGATCGTTATGAACTGTGAGGACGCAGCCACAGGTCGTTCTCCTCGCGTGTAAGCAGCGCTTATAGACAAAGAGCAGAGAAGCAAAGCCCTGTTTCCTGAAAGTCAACAGCCCTTCCTTTGCCCATTGTCTCTTTTGACTATTGACACCTGCAAGCGAGCTTTCACAGCCATGGAGCTTCAACACCTTGCCTTTCCATCATGAACAACACCAAAACACGACCCGCGTAGAGTACACTTCCTAGCAACATCATGAAAAAAGACGGCAAAATGCCCGCCCGCCTAGCAATTCCTTCACGGTAGGTACCATCCCAACCCCAAAACCTGCTCCCCATCTCTAACACCACCACCTTTTCCCAGAAAACAAGTCTCCCGCTACCACGACTACGACCCCTCAACCACCACCTCCCCCGGCACCCCCGAACACGAAACCGTCCTGCGCGCCCAAAGATCCCGAATCCAAACCCTCTGGAAACTCTGCCTCCTCTTCACCTCCTTCCTCCTAGTCTTCTTTCTGGGCTTCCTCTCCTGCCAGCAATCATCCCCTTCGACGCCGCCTCAAAATTGCGGATCCTCGGTATCCGAAGCGATAGCGAAAAGTTGTGAATTCGATTTATTATCCAACGCGTGGATCCCACGACGCTGTTTCGAAAGGGAAACGGAGCGGGAATTTCGGGATTGGGTTTGGAGTTTTCAGAGGTTGAGGCATAGGTTTCCGTATTTTGGGGCGGAGGGGAAGGAGTGGATTAGTCATGAGGAGATTCTGGGGAGGCATTTGGGGGAGGTTTGGACTACGGAGGAGGTTGGGATGGGGTGGTGTGTGTTTTTGGGGAGGAGGGCGGGGAGGTTGTTGGGTGGGAATGGGAATGGGAATGGGAAGAGAAAGGTTGTGGATGGGATGGAGGAAGTTATGGAGCAGTGTTCGAGGTTGCATTTGGGGGATTTGACGGGGGTTGGGGTTGGGGAAAGTGGGAATTGGAGTAGGAGTAGAGATTTAGGGGTGTTGAATAGGAAGATTCAAGTTGGATTTGGGAGTTGTTGATGATGTTTTGTTATCGCTATGAAGACCGACAGCTGGTTGCGAGGAAGGCCTAGGATGCAATGAGGCGATAGCTGCTGTGGTGGAAATTGAGTTGCTGCCCGCATCAGACACTCATGCAATCATAAGTGCCAAACATCATGATCAGCCCCTTTTAAGATCAGCAATGGATGCCATTTTCCTCTCGAGTTCATGTCGCAATCTGGTTGACGTGTACCAGACTCAATTATCCGCTTGATAAAGAAGGTACCATCTCGGAACCCATGTCGCTCATCCCTCCGTGAGGCTTTTGTTCGTGGATCACAAGAAGCCTTGTCTAGACTCTAGATCGCTCAAGATGACCCTTACATATTTCCGAAGGTGACGGTCCATTGTGTCGAGGCTGGGGAAGTTATAGCGACATCGTGACATGAGGATCGTTTGGCCACCGTGCAGCATCTCGGCAGTCTCGCTCCTTATCTGAGAGCAGGCATGGAGTAGCGCAAGCGTGCAATCGTGTCTATCCAGACCAATGATCGCTGGCACATCGTCGATGACGAATTTGATGATACGGTCCCGAAGCTCCCTTGGCAAGGACAGGAGAGGGAAATGGCGCCGATCGGGGTGTTGGCGCAATTCACATGGTATTAGCCTCAAATCGACATCACCGCGATTTTGGTCCGGCCCGACGTCTAGCAAGGCTGTTATCTCCTCATTGCTTGGAGGTGACGGCTTGTCGCTCGCTTTAAACCAACACGTCAGCTTGCTGTGGACACTCGGAGTGATACTCGAGACGCAATCGGCCGAATATAGCTTGCTGCAAGAATGGCCAGCATTTCATTGCTGGCCTCATTTCGTTGCTGGCCTCAATGCGGCATAGAAACCCCTCAAGCTGAGTCAGATCCAATGATTATAAAAAGTCGCAGCCGGCCCGTCAATCCCCAATCGTGATTGTGAGACAACCGAGAAACACAGTGCAGATGCCGATGAGCCTTGTCACTCTATTTCCGGGACTTCGCGGATCGCCGTACAGCCTTGTTGCGCTCTGTACATCGTTGCTAGAGCTCCCAGAACCAGACGGCGAACGACAACACTGTCTCGGCACGCCGACGATGCATCTCATGTTACAGATCTCAATTCCTCATCCACGGACTGGGCCTTGCTTCTCCAACCTGTTGTGTGGCCGTCGTGAGTCTATATCGCTAGCCGACTTTTCCAATTCACAGGATGCCTGTCACCAGGACCAGTGTGTCTACAATACCTTGTGAGCGCGTGATGGCGGCCTGGATGGTCCTAGTTTTGATGGTTGACTTCACTGCGTTCGCGAATTCCGTTTCGTTTTCCAAATCCCTTGCGAAGTATATGATGTTGGTGTTGCAAGTAGCAATGCTCGGCTAAGAAGGCTGTATGACTGGCAGTCATTTTCTGTATACGTTCGTCCACGGCCGTGACCACGGGGGCATCGAAAGCTGTCACATCTTTCCGGTCTACGAAGCTGGCAGAGTCGCCACTGAAGCCTGTGCAGTCACTACACTGGCGATGCGTACAACGAGTGCAGTTGGAGCAGCTTGTAATACAACTTCCGCACTGGCAGCAGACAAACATGGTGTTCGCTGGATAAGTCGTTGAAGTATGTGGAGTCGTGGCCGTGTATGGGTTTGGGGTGTAATGAGCTCCGGGTGTCCAGCTTCTCCAGCTCGTTTATGAGCAGGATCAGAGCCATATCCACGAGATGCTCATTTGCTTTTATGCTGACGTTCTTCTCAGTGTCTTGAACACCGCCAGGGCCAAGCATGTCGGTGCGATCCGGGTGTCATGCGAGCGAAGTGACGTTCGCGCCAAGTCACCTGGTGTTAGTCAGATGGTAGCCAGCAACGTAGAGCACATCACAAACGGGACCGCATGGCATGAGGTTACCGGACGTAGCGCGGTGTACGGCATGTTCCAAGTGCCGTTCCATTGGGGGTTGCTGGACTCCGAACTAGGAGCGGCACAGCAAATTATTCGACTTACCCTTCATACCACAGAAGTCTACCAACAGCCGCTTGGTCCGAAGCAGGACATGAAGTGATTCATCGTGATGGGACGCTGAGGATCCGAAGGCGTATCTTCGGCCCAGTCGTATAACATCTTCGCTGACAGCGTTCCCTGCCGCACCTCTTGTCCGCTCTGATCTCCTCGCATTATTCAGCCAGCACCCCCAAGTCTATCTCCAGCCATCGTTACTGTCCACGTCCACCCAAGAAGCAGGCCCTCTGTTGCTGCCTCTGTGCTCGGCTCGATCGGAAAGGCGGTGCTCGTTCAGATGCACACGTTCGTTGATGGTGCGGTGAGCATGTGGTTCTGCCGAAGACCCACGCGAAGGCCAGGCAGCACACGTCAATACGCCCAGTCCGCCATTACGCGTAGCATCGAGCACTGCCTCTTCTGGTCAGCCAGGATTGTCCACATATGTCGATTCTCTCGATTCTCTCAACATCGATACCACGGCAGGACGATGTTGGCAGAAGGAGGCCCTGGGCAGCCAAGCCTTGCCGGGTCATCCATGTCTCCTCGGGGCGAGCCGCCAATGCGAGATCTCGAGGGACATCTGCTGTGGACCTCACACTTTCACTCAGCATCTCTCCCGTCATGAGCATCATGACATCGGCGTGGCAGCGAACGAAAAGCGGTCGCTGGCGTAGATGGCGCCAACATGCAATTGGTCAATGGCCGGCCGGCACTCAACGAGCAACTCCGTCATACGTTCTCCCCACCTGATACCACTACACCTGAGTTTGCCGCTTGAAACATGTTGACCACTCCTTCCAACATCATGCTGCACGCATTACAAATGTGTCGGAGAGCATAGAGAACTCATATCCCTCACCTACACGCCGCCTACCACCACCTATCTCCTCCCACATCTCGATATTGGCCGTGCTCAAGAGCAACCATGTGGGAAACAACATTCCAGCACACCTCATCAACACCCCTCCCTCCAAACATCTCCATCGACACCGGCCTGGAGCTCCTCCACGACTTCGACTTCGTCGTCCGCCTATCCCCCGACTGTCGTGGCTGTCGCCCAATCCCTCCACCCCAACCCAAAAACCTCGACCCCAAAACCCTTAACAACGAACCCGAAACCGTCAAGTACTACGAAGTCGAAGACGACCTCCCCTTCATCCCAAAAACCCTCTGGTCCGGCAGCGTAAAATACCGCGCCGACTTCGTCCCCACACAAAACGGCTGCGCCATCACCGTGCACGCACCGGGAGGTTTCACCAGTACGAATCACTGGAGGTTGTTACGAGACAATTCGTCACGGGAAGGCACCAGATCCAAAGATTCAGATCATGTGGGAGATTCCGGGGCGGGGTGGTATGTACAGATTGTGAGTGATGCGAAAGTGGAGAAGATGTTTGCGGGTTTCGTGAAGGGGTTCTTGAAGAATTCGCATCGCCAGTTGCAGGCGGCTTTTGTGGAGAGGTTGAAGGATACGCCCGCGCAGCAGAGGTGTAGGAGGCCTACGTTGGGGAGGAGGAGGTCTAGTGTGCTTTAGGCGGGGACAAAAGATGGGATGGGCGCCAGGGTGATCACGGAAGTGGAAATGTTCGAGGAAAGAATTTGTCCGGGCATGGTAAGAGACGGAAGATTTCGGGTATTGTTTAATATACAGCGTCTGCAGGTCAGACTAGAGTCGTTAGTTTCACGACTGTCGAATAGAATTCATGCTGGCCTGAAACAAATCCGGATGTCTCGACCTCATTTAATCCTTCCCATCCCACATGTACATTCCTGAAGAATTCGCCCCACTCGATCGGCTTCATTATGTATGCTCATGCTCAGACGCAGACACAGTGATCACGCAAGATGAGAAAACTGCATCAATCCACCAATTTTCTATCAGATATCACATTAAGAACTACCTCTATCCCATCCACCGAGCAATGCTAATCCGTACCACGATACACCGACCCATCAGGAGCAAAATACACACCACTCGTCGGCAGCACATCGCACCCGGACTCCGTACACGAAGGCAACATCCGCTCACTCGGCATAAAAGTCGCCTGATAACTAGAGTTCCTCAAACTCGACCCATTCCCCGCTACAGCCTCGACCATAACCCACATATAAAACCCCGGAGCAACCCACGCCGTCTCGAAACCCTTCTTACTCGAATTCCCCAAGATTTCGAAATCATCCCCGATTTTTTGCGCGCCGTAGTACCGCCACGTCGAGACGGTTGTAGCGCCGTTCCAGGAGGCGTAGATGTGTGTTGGAGCGGTGGAGTTGAGGGCGTAGGTGTAGACGGAAGGGACGGTGTTGGAGGGAGTGGATGTCCAGTTATCGAATGTGAAGGCCCGGTAGCTGAACATTCCTCCACCCGGTTGAGAGAATTCGCCGGCGAGGACGACGGTTCCGTCTGGGGTGTGCTCGGAAAAGGCAGGGACGTCGCCCCAGCCGTGGAAGATGTTTCCGTTCGGGAGGATTTGGGAGTTTCCTTGGGATGCGGAGATTGTGCTTAGTGGAGGGTAAGTTATACTGAGGAGTCTTGCGGAAGCAGTTCCAAGGCCTTTTCCGTAGTCGATAGCTACGATTTTTCCGGAAGATGTTGGGGATGTGTCCATGTCGTGGTTGTATCCGTTGCTGGCATTGTCGAAGAATGATATTACCATGGTTGTAGCATTTTCGCTTATGATACGAGCATCGTGTTGGAAGCTGAAGTTGAAGCTTGCGGAGCCTTGTTCGATTGGGAAGGTAGAATCCCCTTCGGAGCTCATTTTCCAGATTATGTTTTGGTCTGTTGCGTTGATGTAGTAGATTGTGTGTGTATGACGGGCCGAGACGAGAAAATTGCCAGACGGAGACTTGTCGATACTGTTAATGTGGAAATAATCGAAGCCAGATGTGCCGCTGGTCCCAAAGCCTGTTGGTATTCATTGAGCAGGCTGACAGAATGCATTAGCACGTTCTGCTTACCTGATACGTCGCTGGAGTTTGGTAGAATGTGAGTTTCGGATATGTCGACATCTAGGATACATTGGTTAGCAACTGTGTGAAGATAAGATGCCGCTCCACGGCGAACCGCAGAGACTAGACTGCTGTGTCTGACGCCTTGCAGCATTGGGCAAACTCACGATTCAGAGAATACCATTCAAAAAGCACATCCCCAGACTCAACATCGATTTCCTGAAAACCCGACTGCATCACATACGGCAAACCGCCAGAAAAATTGTAATAAGCCATATCATGGGGAACCGTATGATAGAACGAGACAATCGCAGTCTTTCCATCATCCAGAAGCTGAAACTCATGCTGATCCACAGGCATAGCCGATCTTCCCGTATGAACAGTCTGTACAACGCGATAATTGCTATCCAGGATTGCAGCTTGACAGACGCCGTATCCCACCGGATCCATGCACTGATTGATACACAGATGAGGCGATCCTCGGTATTGGCAGACGTGTACGTTATGAGCAGTGGCAGGAATGGCACCAAAACCATCCCATACCAAATTTCCCATTTTATCGTAGATCCGGGCTCCACTTGCGGCGTAAGAAGCTCCATATGGACCTAGGAAGATCAGGCCGTCGGTTTGACCATCTTCACTTATACTGATGTTCACCGCCGGAGCCATGGATTGAGGCCTCTTGAAAGCTGTTAGCGAAATCTGAGAACACGCAGTAGGTAGGAGCATACGGTGAAGTAGCTCGAAAGCGGATTCGAGGCATTGTTGAGATAGTTGGCTTGCGCTGCTGCAGTCGAAACACAAGCAGCAGCTATGCCCGCCGTCCATATGAGATTCGAAGGCATGGTTGATTGATGTCGCGGAACCGAAATACAGTACCTGGACTGGCACAAACCTTTTTCTTGGAATCAGGCCCGGAGCCTTAAGAAGGAAGGCTCTACGCTATGACTGCACCATGCGTACTTGCCCGGAAAGGCGGGCGAAGGCGCATCATTTAACCGGTTTGGCTACGACGTCTGCAGGACAATTAGCGAAAAGCCGTGAAGCAAACAGCTGCGATCGACGCGAGTTGCGTGCTGTGAGGTCAGAGCTGCGGACGCCACGCGGCTGGCCGAGGCCGAGCCGAAACGTCACACTGGTCCACTGGCAAACAACCTTGGTGATGTTCGGACGTGAGGTGCAATGGACTGCAATGATGCAATCATTTCTTGTGTACGGAGCAGGGTTTCCAATGTTGCCGAACGGAAGGCGAGCCCTCGGAACATCAATGGCGATTCTTCTTCTCGAAAGCGGGGAACGGTATGCGGTAGAATATGGGTATGCGGCCTAAGAACTCTGTGTCCTGCATTCTTTGCAATTTTCACGCCCACCGGTTCTGTTTGAGAACATCATCAATGGGATGGGTCTTCGTGAAGATCAAATTCGGACGAGTGTTGGATGCGAGTACACTTGAGGCAGCTATGATCCACGACCGCCAGTTCGTGACACTTTGCAAAAGGTTAATAAAGATAAAGTCCACTTATGATTGGCGAGGATCGAGTTAAGACAAACTCTCTTGCCATTTGCTTCTTCATTTCAGCTATGGTTCTGCCTGTTCTTCTGGAACTACCAGCCTTTCCATTCCCAGCTCGCTACATTCGCCCATCTTCCTTTTGAGGGCGCCGTCAAGTAGCCCTCCAGGCTAGAAGATCACGTAAAAGGCTGATCATAGCGAGCAATGTGCTCATCACGCCTGTGTTAATGCCGACCTGGACGACCTTTGACCCACCATACACACTGTCCATCGTCCTCAGGGTCGTCTCATCCAGTGAAGGCTGCTGTCGATTTTCGCTATGCAAGATGAAGGTCGTAAATCCATAAGTGTTCGTCTAGTTTGGGCAAGAAGCCTGAACGTGGCCAGGCTGCTTGCAGCGGTAGCAAGTACGCTCGGAAGAGGCCTCGCTTGAGCAGTCTCTGGAGAGATGGCCAAGTTCGCCGCCTGGTGAAGAGTATCAGCAGTCTGGCATTGCGAAAAGAATAGGAGAGGCCGAACTCACAGTTGTAGCACTTCTGACCCTGGACGCAGTCACGCGAGAGATGGCCATAGCCACCGCAGGTGTAGCACGACTGCTGGGAGTTGCCACCACCATAGCCACCACCGAAACCACCACGACCACCGCCGAAGTTGCCGCCTCCGTAACCGCCCTGGGTGCAGTTACGCGCGATGTGTCCGACCTTGCCGCACTACGAAGGACTAGCTTTAGTTCAGTCCAGTCGCTGGGAGAAGACGCTTACCTTGTAGCACTCCTGATCAGATCCAGCGCCACCGCCGAAGCCACCAGAGCGAGCACCGCCGCCGCCGCCGTTGGGGCACTCGCGGCTCATGTGGCCAGTCTCGCCGCAGGCATAGCATGACTGTGACGATGTCAGCAGCTATCACTCAAGGGCAAACGAAAGCATGCGTACCTTGTCCTTGGCAGGCTCGGTGCAGTCCCTACTAAGGTGACCTTGGCCGCCCTATGATCATCTTCAGTTAATGAGGCAGAAGGGAAGAGCGCGCCAGAATCTTACGCAATTGTAGCAGGTTGGGTTGCCCTTGTTTGGACACTCGCGGGCTTGGTGGGTGGTGTCGCCGCCTGCGAAGAATTAGTCTCAAATTTTCACGCAGCTTGCAATTGTCGAGGCAGCGGCGACGGCGCGGCCTGCTCCCGGTCACTGCTCGTGCTCGAGCGAGCGAGAAGTTCTGCGCGATTGGCACTACTAGGTAGGCGGTAGGCGGCCATCAAAGTCCTGGGCAGGGCGACTCACAGTTGTAGCAGGCTCTGCCACCGGTCTGGGGTGCGCCGAAGGAGGCCATTTCGTCGGCGGTCGTTGCTGTTTGAGTGTGGATGACTTTCGAGAGTTTTGTAGGGATTGATGATGATGCTGATACAGTGCCGCTGATCGCACTTTCTGGTTGAATGGCGAGTTGGTGAGGTTGGCTGTGGAAGCAAACGCGGCAGTGCGTTGAAATTCGCACCAAACGGACGTCACTTGCGGGCGGGTCTGAGCTCGGTGCACGGCCAGAGAAGGCTCGACTTGCAGGAGCTCTGGAGACAGATTTGATTACGAATTGACGCGAATTGTCACTCACGTGCTCAAAGTTATCCGTATAGAGCGCGGCACTGAGCGGTGTTTCTTCTTCACATGCATTTTGTTCGCTGCTTCACTTTTCCAACGTCCTCAACATCAAGTTCGCTAGCGGATCTTCGGCCCTGAACTCTCCTCCACGTGCGGCACGAGCCACTCAGGCACCAGAAGGATTGCATGGCGATATCGGCGATAGCAAGACATGTCACCGTCTGACTTTACGGCATCCAAAGTACCCACATACATTGCACCACAACCTACTGCATTGTTCATTCGTCGTAAATTCTTCAAATCTCATGTAAAATCGTAAACAACCAAGGCCTGCTTCCCTTGGCCGTGCTCCTTTAGCACCACAACATTCTCATCATCGAAGCCAATCCAACCTCGGCTGATGGTCAACTCTGATTCATCCGTGCCAGTGTCAGTGCTAGAATGAGTCACGACGTCAAGTCCTGATTTCGGTAGGCTTTTGGATTGATCCGGTGGACTATCCGCCTGCGCAGCATTATTATTAGGCCTGACCTTGACAGATAGGTCTCCGTGGAGTCGCTTGCGTGCACTCGATGTTGTGAAACCGCCTTCCAGCTCCCAGAGCCTCAACTCGTCGCCTTGTCTGCTGATAGAGACAGCCTTGCCGCGGCCACCGACATGTGCTCCAGATACTGCAGAAGTATGGCCCCATAGCCTAGCTCCGGGACTGATGTTCAGGCTCTTTGCCGTAGAAGTGACTAGATACAGGGTCAAAGTATTATCCCGATGAGAGGTCAAGAGATAGGGGTGATTGTAAGAGAGAGATGTCGGTTTCGAATGGATATGCTTCAATTCCAGTGCTGACGTGCCTCCATGCAGTCCAGTGTTGGTTGCTGGCAAGTGATACATCATCGGTCGATTCGCAAAGGCCAGAGGTCGATAATGCTGATCAATTGCGGACGCTAATCGGGAGTCGATGAGAGTGCCACTGAGGTCAATCTTGACTTCCTGTATGCCGACAGTCCAGCCAGAGAGATAAGTCGGCATTGAATATGCTATCGAGACGTAGATGGCTGACGAAGTTGTCCGGAGCGACACTGACAATGGTGGTAATACCGTATGTGACTTCATGGAATGCAGTAACCGTGGCGGATCTTTGACTTCTGACTTTGGATCGCTCTCCTGGAATTGATAAACTGATAATAGTTGCATGGCCGTCATCGTCACGGCATAAGGCCAGCGTAACTCCGTAGCAGTTATGACACCATTTGAAGATGGTTCATGACTGTACTTGTGGCTGAACTCTCGTCCATGATGATCCAGAATGTAAACGCCAAAAGAACCGTCTTCGAAGCCGACGACTACCCTGGAGACAGAACTGTCGATACCGGACGAGTCCACTGCCAGCGACGTCGGGGGAGAGGAAGTCGACGAGCGCCTGAACTGCTTCTGCGCAATTATGCCACGCGTGCCTTTCGCTGTCCAAGCACGCAGACCGTCCTCACGATCTGCCATATATATTATCCCGTCTGACATTTCCACAAGTACTGGAGGTAAGGATTCTCGTTCTGCCACAGGAATCTCGTTGACCGCAGCGCTTCCTTGTACCCAGTTCTGCCGCAACTTATACTGCTTCTTCCAATTTGTGCGACTGCCGCCTCTTACGAGATGATCTTCGTCCAGCCATCTTGATGCCTTGGAAGCAAAGTGGAGACTGCTGTTGGGCGTATCTAGGTCTTTGAGACCGGGCAGTCTGCTAGCCCTCGGACGGACGAAGCGGTCATAGTAATGAGACTTCCATAGTTGTCCATCGCTGGCCAGCTTGCGGTATTTGTGAGAAAGCCTAGCTCTTTAGCTTATATTTACGATTGATCGCAACCTCCACTGTCACATACCTTTCGCATACAGTAAGTTGGGCTGTGGGTAGGAAGGATAGCACTTTTAGCAACAGCTCATCGCTCAGGGATGACAAGCGGTCTGAAGAGGTCAGCTTCGGACGCTTGCTTGGCAACACATCCTCTGAGGCGCCAGCATCATCATCTCGCTCCCTCTTAGCCATTCCGCTGTGTGAGCCTGCATGCGATCGGAACAGCGAAGGTCGCAGTGCGGCGTGCCGTGCCTTTGTGTCCGGTGCAATTACGTAATCTCGCTCTCGGATTTCGGACTTCGGCTGCTCGGCAAGCGTCGCGTGTAGAATAAAGCGCGTCACTCGATCGTCCTCTCTCGAACGTTGCCTTGGATTCGCCGCCCAGACTTCAGGAAGAGGCCACGCTGCACACGTGCCGATATTCGCATGCCACAAAGAGAATGAAAAACAAATGAATGAGGATCATATGTCTGGGGTTCATGCGTCCATGGAGCTCAGCCCCCCTCCCGTTGGCCCAAGATGAGCCTCCAGCAACAACTTACGAATGCCGAGCAGAGCATCGGGCGGATGTTCATCAGACTCGAGAATGCTGAGAAAGAGAAAGCCGAATTGCGTGCACAGATCGAGTCTCTACAAAAACATGGGCCTGTCGCTCAGCAAGGTGGCGACCAACCAATGGAATATCCCAGTCCAGCGACAAGCTCAACCGAGGAGGTGAAGGCAACGGAAGGTCGAGATTTGAAGGAGAAATATGAAGCCCTCGGCCGCAAATACGCTGATCTGCAGGCGAGCTTTGCATCGCTCAAGTCCGAACACGACGCTTGCCACCAGCAGATTGAGTATGCCAACATGAAGGCCGAAGCAGCCCGCACAAAGGCAATAGAGTACAAGAATGGCGCAAAGGCCTGGAAAGCATACGCTGAGCACCAAGACCGTCAGCGAAAGTCTACTACAGCTTCAACCTCAGCCCAGACAGACAACGAACGCCCAAATTCGACTGCGAAAAATGGCGACCGGACCGAAAATCAAGATGCACGCGATGGTGCTGCAGAAGCATGCGCCGTTGGAGTACAGGGTCGAAACCACAGTGAGCAGGCTGCCCTGAATGTCACTGGAGATCTGCCGTCGGAACTACCGCAAGCACACGATCAAACAGGCGAAGATGAACCTCCCAAAGAGCCACACTCACCCAATCCTCGCGTACCTTCGAGCCAGACCACGATCGTACCATCGAGCGACGATGATCCGAAGCAGTCAAATGAGGACGAACCGAGCAGCGACTTTGAGCCCATCTTCGTTTCAGCTCGTTGCTTGAAGCGTAAGAGAGGCAGATCCACCGCCGGCACTCCACCTAGACGAATCAAGCAGGAGCACCAATCTCCCATTAATGTGATCGAGTTGGATTCGGATCCAGTTGCTGATGCTGGGCTTGCACATCAGTCGTCCGTAGCCAGCATTTATTCAGATCTGGATAGACCTCTGATCCCAATAATCACGCCTCGAAGACCGAGACGAGTCCAGGACCTACAAGTACGAGCAACGTCAGAGGAAGCCATCAGGCAGGTACCGCGGTTGACCAGAAATAGCTCTTCACGTTCGGATGGGGGCGTCGTCGATCAGGCTTCGCGTTCTGAACCAAATGAAGCCCCATTGCACGGTCGCACAACTGAGCCGTGGCCTCAAAATGCAGGAGCTTGTGCTACAGAACGGCCTAGTCGCCTGGATCGCCTATTCGACCGCGGTACGACTGGACCATTGCAGCAGATCAGTACTAATGTTCCAATTGTGCCACGAAGCAAGGGATTAGAGGCCAAAGCAAAGCCCAAAAATAAGCGGACAGGTTCTGCAAGCCACGCTATATTGCTATCTGAAGCTAGCGACATATCCAGCCAGATCTCGTCACGACCCTCGAAAGCCCAGGCAGTATCTGCAGTGGAAGCGGAGGATCAATTGGAGGACATGCTTAACGAGCCTGCCACTGAAAGAACTCCGAATCTGCTGAAGAAACAACCGCAGCGCAATCAGCCGGCAGCTGCTCCCACTCCCCTCATCACACCCGTTTCCAACATCAAGCGCAAATCTCCTCTAAAACGACGAAGTCCATTGAAACGCACCAATAACTCGCCCCCTCGCGCAAACCCCGAAGACGAGCCTCTCCGTCTCCGTCCCGTCGGATCTCTCAAACTCGAAGATTTCAAAATCAACCCTCAATACCAAGGCACAGACTTCGCCTTCGCGGATACACTACGAGGCCGAGACCAACGACGCGGTCTACACGCCTGCACTCGCCCCGACTGCTGCGGAGGCGCCTTATCAAAAGTCATCGCAATGGGCGGCAACGCCCTCTCCGGCAAAACCGACGAGCAAGCTCTCGACATGTACCTCGGACCCCAATGGCGAGACATGTTCAGCAAACTCAATTCTCAGAAACGTAAAGAAACCCTTACGCAAGCTCATGCTCATTGCTTTGCTCATCAATATGGGAAACATCGACAGGCTTTTGAAAGAAGAAATACTCCGCCGGGGTTCTGGAGGACGGATTTCCCTACGACGCAGGAGCAGGAGGAGGATCGGGAGAAGGCGAGGGAGATGGAGAGGAGGGCTGTTGAGGAGAGGTTTCGGGAGGCCTGTGCTGGTGGGGGGAGGTGGGTTTTTAGAGATGAGTAGGGCCGCGTTGCTCTGCTTTGTTGTGGGTTAGCATTGATAGAAAAGAGAAATTTGGGAATGGGAAGGATGTTTTTCTCTTATGAAGTATGAAAATGTCTATGTGTGTGTCGTCCAGGGACGCGGGCTCTTAGAGACTGTCTGGCCTCGGATTTCTCGCTCGGAATGCAAAATTAGAATCGCTCTACGGACGCAGGGCTGAGGCTTCGCGAGCTTGGTCCAGGAGTAGCTTACTACTTACCGCCTTGCTGACTGACATGCATAATTCTTCCCAGGCCCTTTCATTGACGAAACTGGCGACCTTTTATCTTCGATTCGTACTACTACTATACGTGTTCACTATGACCACAAGGTAAGGTACGATGAAGATAAAAAGTGGTACATAGACAGCAAGATCTGAACATGAACAAGCATGCATTTTCGGGTATCTCCATAGAAAAGAAGAAGAAAAAAAAATTCCAGAATCCTTCCCCACCTAATAATAACCAATTCCAACGCCATCATCCCTCATAACATCATTTTCCCCAGCAAGGAGGTAAGGTTAAGTTACCTAACGAGATCTCGCCATCCCATATCCATATCCAAAATCTCCTTTCTTCAACAACACCCCCGCTAAAGGCCCGACTCACTCACTCACACAAAGCCCACCCACCCTTCCGCCGGAATATCCAAACATAGCATTCTACAAATTCACTTCCCATAACCCTGCGCCGCCGCCCCGCCGCACCAGCTCTCCAAATCCTCCAACCTCGACCTCAGAGCCTGAACCTCCGTGTGAAGCGCAGAATTCTCCTTCCCCAACGCACCGATATGTTCGATCGCACCGTTCAGAATCTCACATTTGCTAGGCTTGACGCCTTCGCCCAGGCCATCACCGGGCTTGGAAGCTCCGGCCGAACGCTTGGATGCCAGGGACGGGACGGTTTGCCGGAGTTTGTCGAGATGGGCGTTGAGGTTCTCGCGATACCGGCGTTCGACGGCGGTGTGGGGGATGCGTTGACGTTTTCGGCCTCGGGGTTTGATTTCTTCGCTGGGGACGTATTCGTCGTCTTCGTCCTCGCTGCCGGAACGCTTGATTGAGGGGGTGCCGGAAGTGTTGGGGGCCCTGCGCGGTCGGTGGTCGGGTGCTGCTGGGGCTGTGATGGAACGGGTGAGGTTTGGTCTCTCTTCTCTGATGGAGGAGGATGTTTCTTGGAGTTTCGCGTAAGAGGTGTGTGGGCTCAGGCCTCCGTATAAGCTGCGAGGGCTGTGTACAGAAGAGGTGATCCGCTCGTGTCGTGGAGGTATGTGCAGGTGGTGGTTCGCGGTGTGTCGCGTGGTGTGGTAGGCGTCTGAAGGGTCGCCTGGAAAGGCTGCAGTTGATGGTGATCCCATATCGACATCTGACGCCCAGCTGGTCTCTGGGACGTAGCCCATGGGTGGTGAAATCAGTGGACCGCCATCATTGTGCATGCTGTCCTCATAGTCACCGTGGAAGATGCGGAAATCTGCGTCGTGAAGGTTGGGTATGGGTATGTCATGGCCTTGCTGCCAGTGATTGAGCGTCATCTGCTCGTGGATGTGGAGGCGCCGCCATGGGTCTGCGCTGACAATTGTGTCGGGCATCTGATCGAAAGGCTGGTGGAGCATGAAGGAGTGCACAGCGGAGGAAAGAATGGCGGTGGTCATGGAGCAGAATCAGATGCAGCAGAATGGTCAGTATTGGCTTTGGAGGGCAACAAGGGTTCTTAGTGTCGCAGAGGGTTCAAATGCGGCTCAAACACCGCATCCAGCGTTCTGCGTGATCGAGTTCAGGGGAGTTGCGGTGGGTCAGTAGGATGGACGAGTAGCTGGGCGCGCGTATCGCCATCGTTGTATACGTGCTACCAGCGTCCGTTAGACTTCTTCTGGAAGCCACCGCATCCCCAGCTGGGCTGCGAGAAGCCGTCGCCTAGGCCCTAGGCAAGGCAGGCAAGCACGCAGGCGTGAAGTCTAATCGGAGCGGTCTCACCGATGGGCCGCATCATCATCATGGGCGTGCCCGGCGTGGCCGCGTGGGCTGTAGCAGGCGATGCCATTGCCAGTGTGCTCCGGCAAGCCTGTGAAAGGCGCCCGCCCACGCTTCACGCTGTCGCGACGTTTTGGGCGAGCTCACGTGGGCGGCCAACCGTTTCTGTCGTAGTCGTCGTGCAGCGCTGCATTAATATTGGCAATCGGGCGCATTAATATTGGCCAGAACAGCCTGTACCAGGTCCTGACCTTGCTTCTCGGCACCTGTGCATCCCTATTGGGCGCGCGCATAACTTGCCGTCGGCATCCCGAGACCGACTCGCATTGTTAAGATGACTTCTCCCACGTGTCGGAAGCGCCACGGTCCACGGAGCCCGCAAGGCTGATGCTGCATTTCCTGGCTTGCGCTGTGTCCAATGGCGACGCGTGCTCGCCATACGGCGCGAACCGATAGGACAAGTGTCTCGCGGCTGCAAGAGCACGCGCTGCCAGAACGTGAACCCCGGTTTTCGCTCCGGCACCTGCACAGACTACTACTCGTGCAGTTCAGCCGGTGTTTTGTCGTCCATTTCCCACGACGCGCTTGCCTCTACCCGAGCAACCTTCTTTTCGAGAACCCCCGCAGTCCCGCACGCTCGCTTGGGGCCACGAGAGCTGTGATAGAGCTATCATCATCGACTGCGTACCCTGCGCGATCAGCATGTCCAGCCCAGCCCAGGGTACGCAGTCGATCGATACTCAAAATAACGACGGAATCTCAAAGTACTTTCCTGAATAGTGAAGTCTTTCGGATGGGAGTTTCAGCTTTGCCCGAAAGGCTGGCAGCTAAAGATTGTGCAGCGAATGTCTGCGCCCGAATCTTGGTATTCTGCATCGCATGGAGTACACATTCCCAAAGAGGTCAAGCTGACTCGAAGGCCAAGAATTCCCAGACCATCTTCTTCTGGAAATTGCTCGCCGTCAAACGCCATCATGAATTGTGAATGGTCGGACCCACGCTCACGTTGATAGAGCATGGCAGCTAGACTGTGAGCCTTTCCCACAGCCGCCCCGAAATGATTCGATGCCTCTGTGCTTCTGTCTGCCACGTAGCGAGCGCAGGAATCGTGCAGTGCACAGAGCTGCTCAACTCGCCCTGTCGCTGCAAATGAGACGCATTTAAGAAGCGCCATTGATGCTCACCGTCTATTGTGCAACGCTGTTAGTGACAAGTACAAAAGCAACACGGCGGAACATTCGTTCCACATACCTGTTGCCTGTTAGCGGGGTGGGCGTTCTTACCTGGTCTTGTTCGATGAGCACGTTGTAATCAGCGCCTAGGGTGCGAATCTCGTCCATGATTTTCGCGGGCACCTTTGCAGCAAATCCTTTGATCAAGGTGTATTCGTCTATCATGCAGGTGATTAGTGATCCCTTTCTAGAGTGTTTGAGCCCCGCATCGTACAGATAAGAACGCCGCCCTGGGTGAGGTAATTAGCACATTTCATCTTTTGAGACAGCGTGAAACAACGTACTGCATCCAGAACCGCCTTCTTTGCTTGGTCAAGCACCCAAGGCGGAGTGCCCTTCGGGTACGAGACAATAATTTGGTTTGTGAGAGGCTCCGATGCGAGAGCGAAGGCAGCCCAAATGGCCACTAGGATGGCGGCCATCGAGAATTTCATTTTGGCCTAGATGTGAGGTGAACAAGTATGTTTGGTTGCTTCAGATAGCAAAGTTGAGATTGAACGGCAGTGGATGAAGAGGTGATGTTGTGTAGTCGTCGATCATCTGGACCAAGTCTTCCCAAGAAACCGACGGGAAGGATACAATGACGCAAATGGCAAGGGTCCGAGGAACGCGGCTTGCCCCGTCTACCCGCTACCCGCTTTGTCTCCAGAGCAGTCACGAGCAGCGCGCAGTGAAGCAGCTTTCTTTAATGGTCATCGTATGCGGAGCCTCACTCTTTCATCGTCACTATACTCACTCTCTCCAAAGTCTCGACACCAAACCCACTTCGTGCGACTTGTCATCGGCTCCTGCCTACCCCTCTCCGAGCAGAAGCAGAACCCATTGCCGCCGCGCTCGCCGCGTTATCACAAGCATCAGAAGAGTTCGAGGACTGAGAAGAGAAATCGAGGCGGCTCAGAGATTGACGTGGAAGCGATCACTCGTGGCTGTGGCACTGCCACGGGCAGGTGCAGGCCTAGAGGTGGTGGGCATCAAGAGCTTCGGAACAGAGACATCATCATCATCAACAACAACAGGCTGAATTTTAGCTAGCAACTATATTGCTGCATTTTGTCCGTGCCAGGACTCTCCTTCCTTCTTGCGAGCTGTTGAGACTGAAAGCACGCACTGCGTATCGCGCGCAGTAAATTGAGCTGCGAGCGCAAGGCCTTTTGCACCCATCCGCCAGAAAAAAAAAACATATTTGCTCATCTGCAACCATCATAGATAGCATATCACTGCATCGTCACCTGTCTATCTCTTCGCGTGAGGTCATCATGTCTTCCAAATCTCCGAGAGGCTCATTCTCGGTTGCGTCTTCGTCTGATGAAGTGGCCAAGGATTTCGAAGAGTCTTTGAGAGACCTGCAGTCCAACAACCGATACGAGATCAGCAACCTCACGGTCATCGCGAAGGAGAATACAGAACATGCACAAGCTATCTCGCGGGCGCTTGAAGGCCATATCAAGACGGTAAGGCATTCGAATTCGAGGCAATTGAGGAAATGCGGAGCAATCTCTCACTTTTCACCAAGATCACACTGACTCTGTGACAGACTTCGCCCACTCGCAAGCTGCCAGCACTTTTCCTCCTGGACAGTATCGTCAAGAATGTCGGCACGCCTTACACGGTGTATCTTGGCCGGAACCTCTACAGCACATTCATGGATGCATATACACTGGTGGATGGCGCGACTCGGCGGCATATGGAGGGCATGCTAAAAACATGGAAGGAGCCAGTGCCCGGATCAATAGATCCACGTCCTGTCTTCCCGCTCGACACTGTTCGTCCGATCGACAATGCACTTAATAGAGCAAAGGCTGCCGTTCAGCAGCGGCAGGGAATGCCACAAATGCCGTTTCGAGCTATGGCCACACCTCCACAGCACAACGGCCAGTATCCGACGCCTCCTCCTCACGGATTCCCTCCACAGTTCCCGCCATACGGAAATCAACAGGTATGTCAAACATCGACTCCTCATGGCTACTCACTAATTCACCTCAGCCTACTCCGCAACCTCCACAATTTGCATATCAACCACCAATAACGAGTCACGCAAACGACATCGATGCCGTTAAGCGTGACATCGACGGCCTTGTCCCACGATTCCAGTATCAGCTAGCCACTCGTCCTGGTGATGATGGACTCCAGAAGCAGCTTGGTGCTCTGCAGGCCTTGCGTACTCTCCTAGATACGCAACGAGTCAGCCCGCCGGAACTGCAGGAAATCAAGAATCAGGTGTCGCGACTTTCACCTGGCTCATACCCACCTCCGCAAGCAACTCCACAGCCGCCTGTGCCTACACCGCAATGGCAACCTCCAGTTCCGATCCCACAGCCTTACCAACAGCCACCAGTGCCATTTCCTGCTGCAACACCACAACCTCCTCAGCAGCCCGCCCCACCAAACTTGACGCCAACTGCACTGAATGGACTGCAAGCACTTCTCGCAAACGTGCCAAAGCCAAGCACGCCGCAAATGCGGGCTGCTATGCCAGGCTTTCGCGATGCCACTCATTCTCAGCTGAACGCTATTCAGAACCATGCCGCAGCACCACCTTTAAATGACACCGCGGATCTGTTGTCATCGCTTGCTAAAGCTGGCCTGATCAAGCCTGTCCCGCAAGCTACACCCAACGCTCCACTTCCAGCGGCAGTCGCGCCGCCTCCGCCGGATGCCACAGCTTCCCTTCTGAAGTCGCTCCAAAGCATACTCCCTCCGAAATCACAAACTGGAACGCCTACCTTACCTCCGGCTCAGCCCGTACCTGCTGCTGTGCCACCTGTGACCGCTGCATCGCTGAAAGTCTTCCGGCCCGAACTTGTCTTTGCACTCTATGACGCCCAGCCGAATCAGTGCAGCACCTGCGGTCGTCGATTCCTCGCGACAGATGAGGGACGAGAGAAGAAGAGTTTACACCTGGATTGGCATTTTCGCACGAATCAACGCATCGCGGATCCCAATCTGAATCGTGGACATCACCGGAATTGGTACGTAGATGAGATGGCATGGATCACCCATACTGAATTTGATCCGTCAACCACAACAGCCACTACTGCAGACAGTGAAGCGGCGAACAAGGTGCAGAAGGGCCCACAAGACCAATCTGTGAGAGCTCCTGCGGGTATGACCAAGAACACATGCAGTATCTGCTTTGAGGAGATGAAAAGCAGTTATTCGGAGGATATGCAAGATTGGATCTTCGCGAATGCAACATACTACAACGGCAAGATTGTGCATGCTACGTGCTTAGCTGAGATGACGCGCTCTCAAGTACATGTACCTGCCGTTGGCGGCTCATTAGCAGCGACGTTCGCAGGTGTCGCCGGTCAGAGGGAGAGAAGTTCAACGCCGGACTCGTTAAAGCGAAAGGCAGAGACGGCAATGGCAGGACAGGGGAGTCGAATGAGATTTGAGTAGGCGATCTCGTGGATCTTCGAAAGGGTGGCATAATTGCGATCAATGCATCTCGACTGCTATAGAGAGTCGAGAAGGACATAGGCGTCCATATCTGTACCACTATTAAACTTTGCTAGCCTTGAGCTTGGCATTTGTGCATCCTCGCCTCGTTCCCATCAACTCCTACCTCCCATCAGGCTTGTGGGCATGAAGAATCAAACTGCGACCGAGTGCACGTGATAGATAGATTAGTAATTAGGGCTAGCTTCCGAACCTTCCGACCAGCCAATTACAAACACACCTAATAATTCTTCGCCTACAAGCCTGAGAACAAGCCGTGCTAAACTAGCCTGCGATATACCACTTTTTCGCGACTATACAAATACAACAATCTGAATAGCGGAGATTGTAGCCCTGCCAATTGCGCTTTATTCTACCTACTAAAAAAGTCTGTACGACGTTAGCGCGTTAAGTTTTCGCTATTCTACTAAGCCGACTCGACTGTAGCTATCTAGATTGCTAGGCGGCTAGCTGCACTGCTAGAAACACCTTAATATAAAATACACCGCATCGCCTAGCTAACACTTAGAGGTCCTTCTCCTAATCCCGGCTATTATTATTTAAGTAGGCGAAAATTCCGTCCGACGCCTACTAACCGCTTTATAGCCTTCGAAGGCAATCGACAACCTTCCTATAGCCGACTCGATACTTCGAGGTCCTTCGTAGACTATTTCTAAACACCTTTTGTATATAGCATAAGTCTACCCGAGGTGTGGTTATTAAGTTGCTGCTATATAGTAGACGCGACTCTAAAGCTAAGCTTAAAACACCTAAAAGTCGCTACTAGCACTGCTACTACTACCGCTACTACTACCGCTACTACTACCGCTGCTACTATAGCTGCTACTATAGCTGCTACCGCTGCTAATATGTCGAGCGACGATCTATCCTCCTTAACCTCGGTTCTACTATCTAATAATAACCTAGTCGGTAGTACTGTCGCCTATAACTATAATAAGAATATAACTAGCCTAGACGACGACGATACTGCTTTACCTAGAGGACCTAAGGAACAGACTGTTCTTATAGGCGCACAGACCGATCTACTAATCTATCTAAGCAGCGGCGGCATTCTCTCTAACCCTCTAGATAAATTAGTTAGACTAGCCGGGATAGATAAGATTAGTAACTTTTAGGATAAGGTATCTATAGATAAAGACCTTAGCGAGGACGACGAGGAGATGTCTAACGATAAAGAGGACCTCGAGGCTCGCGATAGTAGTAAAGAGGAATTAGACGAAGAGGCTGCTATAGAACAGCGCCGAGTAGCGACTAACGAATAGACTAGGACAACCCTTAATAAGCGGTGCGAGGAGATTAAAGCCTTAATAAAGAAGAGCCGTATCTCTATGCTATATCTTATTAAGTATCTAGTCGGCAAGCTAGGTATAGCAAAATCTATAGTAGAAGACGGCTAGTTATAGCCTTATCGGTCGACTAAGCGCTTAAAGCAGTACGAGAGAAATCTCTAGTCGCTTCTAGACGTCTTTCTAGAAGAGCGTCTATTTAGCGGTCGTATTGTCCGTAAAGAACTAAAGAGCCTTATTAGCCGAGACCACTTTAGTATATATAATCTAGACTTTAGTTATGCTAAGTTTAACCTTAGTAGTATAAGCACTACTATTAAAGAGATCGCACTAACCTAGTATCGACTTCTTAGCGAGGAACTGTTGCCTAACCTACGGCGAGATTAAAAGCAATACTAGGAGACCTTTATCGACAAGTACAACCAGATCTAGAAGCGGATTATAATAATTACCTCGTAGGTCCTGTTTTCGATAGTATACGTAAACGCCTCGTATTTCCCGAAGGCGCTTAGCATCTTTCTAGTTAGCAATAGTGCTAGCCGGCGAATACTCGAGTGTCTTAGCAACCTAGGGCTTGTTCCTTCGTATCGCACCGTACGGATTCTTATAAGCAAGAATATAGAGGTCTAGATATAGAAGATTAGCGAGCTGGCGAACGATCCTAATAAGCAGTATAGTAAGACTATCGACAACTTCAATCGTATAAAGACCTATACTATCTAGCGCGGTAGCGAGACTAACGAAATATTAAGTATTACTATATCGTACCTTGTAGAGAATAAGAGCATCCTAGAGGGCGGTTTAAAGAAGGGTATAATCTATTACGATAAGCCTCTCGATCTAGATAATATCTTTAAGAACATATACGAAGACAAGGCCTAGGCACAGGTTCTAAAGGATGTAGCTAATCTAACTACTAGTACCGAGATAGTTGAGATTACTAAGATTAGTAAGAAGACCGCCCTATTCTATATTAACGAGGCTATCGCATACACTTTCCCGAAGGCCGTTAAAGCTGTATTTAAGAAGGAGGCGGCAGAGGCTAGTAACGACGATAACGATAATAGTAATACTATTAGTCGTCCGAAGTAGCTAGTTATCGATAAGATACCGGCTACCTAGACTAAGGTGCTTTCTATACTACTATCCTTTAACGACGAGGCTACGATTATAGGTATATACGCAGTCTAGGACGATATCCTTCTCAACTTTATAGACCTAGATTAAGATAAGGACTTCAAGAATAGACCTAATAGACCGCTAATTATCTGCAATAGCGACTAGATAACTGTTCTACGCGGCCTATCTGTCCGTAATAAGAGTGTCGAGAGTGAGGATACGTACGACAAGCGAGACAATCTCTTGTTCTCTCCTGCCTAGTTCTATACTATAATAAACTGCGGCCTTACATTGTTGCGGACCTATTAGGACAACAATAGAGATAGGGAGCTATTACTAGTATCCTAGACGTTGAAGGCTGATACTGCCTTTTAGTATAGAGACAATAAGATTAGTAAGGACAAGGCCAAGTTCTTCGAGGTTTAGTAGCTATTAAAGACGAGCTTCCGATCTCGCATTATCGGTCTCGTTATTTAGTAGCTCATCGATAAAGGCCGAGTGATTATCGCTAGCGAGGATAGTCGTATAGAAATGGTAGAGGCCGCTATCTCTCGACTTACTCGTAATTAGTATATCTATCTTGTTAACAAGATATATAACGATACGTTATCTCTAGCTGCCTAGCGCGGCTAACCGGGTACAGATCCGCAGTTTACGACTATAGCTCGAATACTAAAGGAGATCGAGCAATTCCTTACGTTACGTAAGTCTATTCGGAATATAGACATCGGCTATCTTCGTAGATTAGTCGACTTCCTAATCCCCTTATTCTTTAGTGCTCGTTAAGGCAACTATAGCCGTCTGATAACCTACCTACGCTAGTTGCTTGGTCCTAGTACTAATCTAGTAGCTTAAAAAGCAATCCTAACGTCGAGTGTAGTCTCTATAAACGGCAATAAGGGACATGCCGTCGTAGCTAATAAGTGTCTCGAGCTCTATAATTACGAGTATTCCGAGGACATTAACCGACACGCTAATTCGACCTATAATATGCAGGCTACATTCAAGAAGGTAGCCTTGAATCGGGAGCCGTCTAGGGTCTTGCGTACTATAATAACTAATCTAACTAGGATTAAGCTAAGCAGCTATTATACCTATAAGGATACATCTATCGACGTATTTAGCAGAGCCGAGAAGTTGTACTCTAATAGGTATACAAAGCTATACGGAAACCCTAGCGGCAACGTCTCTAATAATATCTAGCAGCTCGGAGGTATATAGATCTTAGAGAAGGTAGCCGACTTTAACGAGGGTAATGCGTAGTACTGTTAGGGTCGTAGTACTATATCGATAGACGAGGAGATAGAGGCTACTGCTATTGCTAAGCGGATAGCTACTAGCGACCTTAGCGCTATCGAGGATTCTACCGTCGATAGTAGTAACTCTACGTAGGCTAGTGCCGTCGACCGTCGTACTAGGTAGTTAGGAGAGGAGCAAGGAGATAAGGGGATATAAGAGGCATAAGAGCCGCAAACAACCACCTATCTTAACGAGCTTAACTAAGAGGATAATATATTCGGTATATAGAAATCCAACCTACTATATCTATCGCTTAGCTACCGTTCCTTGCTGTGCCAATTAATATAGGCTGTTAGCTTCTAGTGCTTTATCTTCTAGTGCTTCATCTTCTAGTGCTAGGCGTACGATAATTGCTTAATAGCTAGCTAGGCTAGGCGTACGATAATTGCTTAATAGCTAGCTAGGCTAGGCGTACGATAATGGCTTAATAGCTAGCTAGGCTAGGCGTACGATAATTGCTTAATAGCTAGCTAGGCTAGGCGTACGATGATTGCTTAATAGCTGGCTAGGCTAGGCGTACGATAATAGCTTAATAGCTAGCTAGGCTAGGCGTACGATAATGGCTTAATAGCTAATAGCTCCGTAGACTAGAGTGCGTGCCTAGTGGCGAAGTAGTAGCGGTAAACTAGAGTGCGTGCCTAGTAAACTAGAGTGCGTGCCTAGTAAACTAGAGTGCGTGCCTAGTAAACTAGAGTGCGTGCCTAGTAAACTAGAGTGCGTACCTCGTCGTAGTGCTTATAAAGTCGAAGGGTTTGGCTAGGCGTATAATAATAGCTTAATAGCTAGCTAGGCTAGGCTAGGCGTACGATAATGGCTTGACAACTAGCGTTACTCTAACTAGGGGCAGTCGGAGTCTTAGTTAGAGTAGAGGTCTCTGCTATTGGCTTCGCTGTAGACTTGGTTCCTATATGAATTTAGAGCGCCTAATACTAAAGGAGGCCTCCGGTAATTTCGATAACTGCTAGTAATTCTAGCCTTAGGCATTCGACTAGCAGTAGTCGGCGGCTATTGCGTTAAAAGTGCGATAATGTATAGCCGTTATTGTTGCCTTACTATTATAGCTAAATAGCGCAATCCTATTAGTAGAGGCAAACCTTACCTGCGATGCGCTAATATAGACCTACGCTTCCTAGTTCAACTTCTTCTTCTTCTTCTTCTTCTTCTTCTTCTATATACACTAACATACTAATATACCAACACCCCTAGCAACATACTAGCTATCGGCGTATATAACAGTGTCGATACCTCCTTATCGTATATAGGTAGCTCTATAGCGATTAACACTATTCCTTGCTAGTTCTGCGGCTTGCTACCGATAGAGCCGCTTGTCTAATAGTTGAGGTTCCTCGGCAGGTGGTTTGTTTAGTCCTTTTTTTAAGGTCTCCGATAGGCTTTGCCGAGTAAGACGTTGCGAAGGCGACTCTCCTAGCGAGTAGGTTGTTTTCTATAGCTTTAGCGGGCGTCGACTACGTATTTAACCGAAAGAGCATAGTTTTTGTTAGAACATCGCAGTCTTGTCTTAGTGCAACAAACTGCGGGTCTCGGGTAGATTAGCGGAGGTAAAAACTCTTTAGTAAGGTACACCTATAATGCGGCTAACGGTCTGACTCGGTAAAAACTCTTTAGTAAGATATACCTTAAGTAGCGGCTCGATAGCGACTCTCCTACTAAGTAGGTTAATAGACTAAGTAGGTTAATAGACAGAGTGGGTTAATAGGTTCGTAGCATTGCTATAGGTCTAACTCGGTAAAAACTCTTTAGTAAGGTATACCTTAAGTAGCGGCTATAGGCTTCCTACGTTCGGATTCTTTATAGGATAATATACGCGTATCTAGTTAAGTCGGCGTAACGCCTTCGTTAGGACTGTTAGTTATAATAACCTTAGTCGTTGCGTAAGGGCCTCTAGTATACTTAAGCCCGAAGGCGCTTAGTCTTCACTGCTGCTATACGACTGCAGCCCTTTGCGTATTAAGACTGCTATTCGACTGCAGTGCGCCTCCTCTTCTAGCAAGCGTATTAAGACTGTTATCCGACTGCAGTGCGCCTCTTCTAGCAAGCGCATCAACATTGCTATACGACTGCAACGCGCTCGATAACCCTTTTCTGCGGTATCTCTAATACTAAGGGCGCGGCTATACTCTATTGTTGTCTAGGTACTAATAAGTATCGCTTTAGCGAATGAGCTATTGTTGTTTCGCTTAATAAGTCCCTTCCTACATACCTCGCGTACTATAGTTAGTAATAGAATGCGTTAATTGTTACGTATTGCGCGTAGCATATAGGCTATATGTAATTCTAGTGTGCTTCGGAGTGTATACTTCTGCAGCCGCTTAGTGCCGCTAGTTAATTAGATCCCCGGACGCTACTATTCGTTTTCTCTACCTTATATAGTAACTAGTTATCGGAATAATCGTTCTAGGGAGAGTCTAAGCAATAGAGGGCGTTAACGTAAGAGGGCTATCGTAGCTTCTCGAAGGGTGCTTTTACGAGCGCTCGATATATGTTATCGCCCTACGTATCTATCCTTGCCGTATATATTATAGTGTCTATAAGAGTATGCGGTGCAATAAGTATAGTACTAGTCTCGCTAGTCTAGCTAGTAACTTCTCGCTAGTAACTTCTCGCTAGTAACTTCTCGGGTTTCGGAGGCGGTTCTTAGTGCCTAAGGCGGCCGTCGTTATCGTGTTAGACACTTTTGTTAGCGCTATTTGCTAGAAATGCGCGCAATCGGCGTATCTCGCTACATTAGTAATATACTATTATAAAAGTCGTAAAAGTCGTAAAGTCGGTGTTGTAAATGCGCGGAAGGAAGCAGCTATAACGTTTAATCCCACTAATCAAGCGCTCTACTATACTAAATCCGGGGTCTTAGCGGGACTCGGCATCCTTGTCGCTTCCTCGAATTCACGCTTCTCGCCTCTAGCTCTTATATACTATCGACACCTACGACTATCTATAAACCCTCGTCGCAAAGAACACAATAGAAAAGCCTGCTTAGCGAGCTTACAAGGACACGATAGAAGAGCCTACTTAGCGAGCTTACAAGGACATAATAGAAGAGCCTGCTTAGCGAGCTTATAAGGACATAAGGAAGGACCTTATTAAATGCTAATTCCAGCGCCAATTCTAGCGCTAGTACTAATTCCAGTATAGGCTATAGCTGGTTTATTATACGCTAGCTCTCGTAGAAGCAACTTAACTAGGCATTATACGCTAGCTCTCGTAGGAGCAGCTTAACTAGGCATCCTATATTATACGCCGGCTCTCGTAGGAGCAGCTTAACTAGGCATCCTATATTATATGCCAGTTCTCGTAGAAGCAGCTAAACTAGGCACTATACGCTAGCTCCACTATACGCTAGCTCCACTATACGCTAGCTCTCGTAGAAGCAGCTAAACTAGGCATTACACGCTAGCTCTCGCAGAAGCAGCTTAATGCTGCTACCGATATCTAATCTAGAAGATAGCATAGTATACAACCTGCGATCGAGCGTGGTATTACGGCTCACTTTTCCGGGGATAGGACAAGGACTTAGCGAGCTTATAAGGATATAATAGAAGGGTAGTAAGGAAGGACCTTATCAAATGCTAACTCTACTGCTATCCTAGCGCTAATTCTAGTACCATTTCCAGCGCCAATTCTAGTGCCAATTCTAGCGCCAATTCTAGTGCTATTTCTAGTGCCATTTCTAGCGCCAATTCTAGCGCCAATTCTAGTGCTATTTTACCGCTAATTCTAGTGCTATTTCACCGCCAATTCTAGCGCTATTTCACCGCTAGCTCTCGCAGAAGTAGCTCAACTAGGCAGAGTTAGCGGCGACGGCTTAGTAATCCTGTCGGCGAGCTACCTAGTAACTAGCCTATAAGACGGAGACTAGCTTCTAATAGCGTACGGTTCCTACGTAGCTTACGGCTACCTCTCTCCTTAGTAGTACGAGTAACTGTACTTAATAACTGCTCGGCTCTCTTAGCTCGCTCCGATTTAACTTAATTAATCCGGCGCGCTCTATATCGAGGTACCTAGCTTGTTACTAGGCTTGTAGAGGCAGGACGCTTATTACGCGGATCGTCTAGACTACGAGTAGTGCTAGTAGCAACGGCAGAAGCGGGTAGAAATGCGGAGGCTAGATTGCCTAGAAGTACTACCCTTAGCTTAACTATGCGACTAGGTAGGCGAGGGCCGGCACTAGGACCGGAAGTAGTAGCAGTCGCTCTCTCGATCTGATTTATACGAAGACCTATTCTCGCTGCCTCGCTGCGTAAGGACTCTATAATACCGGCCTAGACGGCATTTCGCGCGGCGTTCTATATAGCAAGGCGCTACGCTAGAGATACTATCGGAGGATTTAGCAATAATCGGCCGGCCGCGGATTGAGAACTAGATGTTAGTCTAGCAGCGGCAGAAGCAGTAGTAGCGATAGCTTGTTATTTGTCTACGCGCTTCTTAGCTTTCGCGTTAAGACTAGCCTTCTACTTAGTAAAGACACTCGTACCAATCCGCTTAATCTTATTAATTAGCTTATATAACGCAAATAGGCGCTAGTCGATATTTAGAGCTTTAAACTAGTCGATAAACTCTACCGATTTCTGCTTAAGTAGCCGCTAATTAACGACTATATTCTCCTATTGCTCGAACTAGCTAGTAGTAGTAAATATATTATATATACTCTAGAGTCTTCGGTCTTCTAGAATAGTCTTTAACGGGAGGTTAAATATGCAACGATAAGTCTATTCCGGGTACTTGTTATTCTTAGAAGACAACTACGCCTATAGCTTCTAGAAGGCAATAGCCGGACGTATCCTATTTCCTAGCTTGCGGAAGATCGGACCTATAGCTTCTACTAGTAGCCTGCTATTGTAAAGGAGATCTAGGTTAGGGTTATAGGCATTATAGCAGTGCTCGCTCGATAGTAGGTCTTATAGATATATTACCTTATCCTCGCTAAGGTACTAGAGGATTACCTTGCGAGGGCAGATACTATAGTCTCGATATCGATCGTTCTAGAAATGTATCTAGATCTTTGGAATCTTCTCGCGGGCAGCTATCTCTGCTTTAGTCTAATACTGCGGATCTGTGCCGGCATCTGTATCTATATCTATATCGCTAGCAGCACTCGCATCGCCGTCTCCCTTAGCATCTTCTTCGGGGATCTATAATTGTAATAGACCTAAGGAACGGCCTAGCGTATAGCGATGCTATTAGGATTTTCGAGTGTTAACTCGAATCGCCGAGTAATAAGAGTCCGGGCGAGGCTACTTCTTGCTATTATCAACTAGGTATAGCAAGAAGACTAAGGCTATACTTCGCTTGCCCTACTATAGAAGGGCACGACTAATACGACTAAGCCGCTATATTAGATCCTTAATGTCTCGAGTAATCGGATACTTAACCTAGGCGACAATCTCGATATCTAGAATATTTAGACCGACGCTAAACGCAGTCGTCGCGATTATAATACGAATGTTCGATAGACTATCGGGGCTATCTATAGTACGGCTATATTGCTTGTATCGACGGGTCTAGTCGCGCTTAGCTATACTACTAGTATAGAATAAGACAGTAGTATATACATTAACGCCCTTGTTGTCCTAGGTATATCGCTTCTTCGGATCGGTGTATTTAGTAGTCGCGGCAATGAGCTAGCTACGAATAGTATTAGCGAGCTCTTAGACCGACTTCCGACTATTAATAAATAGTAGAGCCTTCTTAATGCCCTAAGGTGTCGCCTCCTTTTCTAGACCGACGCTATTATTAACTACGAAGTATAAGTAGTCGTAGCAGCTAAGCTCGTCCTTATTAATAGTGCGCAGGATGTATATAGTATCTAGTCGATTAATACTGCTACGGAGAACCTTAGTCTTATACGGTTTATTTCTAAGAGGTCGGAAGCTACTATTCTTGGCTATAAATTCCTCTGTTTCCTTAGACACTAGCGATAGTTAGCTTAGCTTAGTTTAGTTCAGTTTAGCTTAGCTTAGCTCGATCTACTTACTAGTAGTAGAACAGCCTAACTATACCGTGTCGGTGCGTAGCAGCTTCCGTAGAGAGAAGATCTAGGTATATTCCTTGCGAAATTCCTTCTACTTCGCTACTAGGTACATCTCGTCGATTACAACTAAACCAATTCGAGCCTAGGCCTTTAGGTCTCGAATAATAGCTCGGAAGTCCTCGCTAGCTACAGTTTCTAGACTAAGGATAATATAGTAGACCTTGCTATCTATAATCTTCTAAAACAGGTTACGATCTATGCTCTTATTCTCTACGGTAATATTAACTACATTAATTAGGTAGTTAGCTTGTCGAGCAGTCTCGCGTATATCCTCTATATACTCCTTACCGAGACGATTTAATAGTGTAATCTTAATAACTACTATACCTGTTAATAGGCCAAAGGCCTAAAAAGGCAAACTCTTGCCTTCGCTAGTCTTCGCTATTATTATTATATTAGAGCAGGCAAATACGAGAGCCTAGACACTATAGATCTAGGATTCCTTTAGTATATAGCCCTTGCCTAGATGCATCTTGTCGAGAACCTTTCGCAGTCCTTAGGTAACGATATCGCGATATATATTAATAGCTTCTAGGGTACGTATCGCATCGTAGACTAATTGCTATACTTGCTTAAGTAATATCGTAGGATCGAAGATCTTATCGTAGCGCTACTAGAACTAGGCTTTATATTTACTCTTTCTAGCTAGCTACTCGACTAGTAGCAAATAGCTAAAGTCTAGCGATTCTCGACTAACGGCAGCGCGACCTAGTAGCTTAGGTCCGATAGGCTAGTTGTCTTTCTTCGAAGCTGCTTTCTTCGAAGCTACTTTCTTCTCTTTCTTTACCTAGGCGCGGCGCTGCTTCTCGCTTATATTAGACTATAGTAGAGGCATTGTTATCGGCGATAGATACGGCGGGGCGGTAGCGGTAGCGGAAGTAGCGATAGCAAGGTCGAACTTAGAACATATACGAAGCAGCTAGCGCGCGCGCGCGTATATGTATATATATATATGCGAGCGCTAGACAGTTATAGTCGCTATAATAGTAGAAAGAAATAGCAAAGAGTGTAGCGCGTAGCCCTAGACAGCGAGATAGAGGCAATAGCAACACTTTTTAGGCATTCTAAAGTACGGAGATTAGAGAGGTAGTTAATGCGACGGACCGTATGTGCTTTGTTTAGCGCTATATATGCCGTTTGTAGGTAAGTAACACTAGGTAGGGTAGATAGCAAACGGGAACAATAATCGCCTCGTCTTAGAAGACTAAGAATTAATCCTTCTATTAACATTTTCGCGACTACTTTGTATAGGCAATCTGACAGATTATATCAAAACGCATAACTACGCCCGCGGATATAAACCGCTATTTTGCGTAGTTGCGACGCTGTATTTAATCTTCGTAAATTGAACAATAATTAGGTGTATAGAGGTAGCCCGGTTTGACTTCAGGCGCTCCGCTATAGCTTTCTCTATACCTAATGTGGTTAGTGTCGATGCCTAAGGATACAGAATCACGTGGAAGAATCTACAACACTCGGAGCGCCTGAGAGGAGGTAGATCAACTCCTCAACTTTCCAACGTGTGAAGCAACGATACACATTCCCCATCTCCATCAACAAAAGCGGTTCTCGAAAAAAGTCACCTTCACCATCCAATCCGAACCCAAATCTTCTCGTCCAAAAACAAAAAAAAAACATCCTCTACCGGTCGGTCGGACAGTCATTCAGTACAACAACAACAATCACAACGACAAAAAAAATTCACAAACTACCATCCCCACATTATGGACCGAGATCCTCAACCCACAGACGCACCCAGCAGCACCCAAAACCCATCTCCCTCCCCCCCACCAACAACAACAAAACCCCACCCTCCTCCCCCTCCTTCATTCTCAATCCCCCACCCCATCTGGTCCTACATCCACCTCCACTACCTCCACTCCTCCTCACAAGTCCCAGATATCCTCACAACCCACCTCCACCTCACCAGCAGCCTCACGAAATTTTTGGGTCTCCATGGCACCGCGATCCCGATTGAGATTTTGAAATTTGGGGATCGAGATCTTTGGATACGGGTTCCGGCGGAAAGTCTCGCGGTGGTGGTTGCGGGGGTGGGGTCGAGGGGGGATGGTGGGTGGAGGGTTGGGGGGTGGGGGTTTTGGAGTGGGGAGAGGGGGGGTGGGGAGGGGTTGTTTGATGAGTGAGTGAGTGGGTGGGTGAGGAGGGGGAGGGATGAATGGATGGATGGACTACCTAGGAAGTGGTGGGGACTACTATCGCGTTGATGAATGAGTTGAGCTTGATGATGGATTCTACTCGAGAGTCTACTAATACTACGAGAAAGAAAAAAGCTCAGCTCAGCTCAGAGGATGGAACGCAATGCAGGTGCAAAGATATGATTATTGTACAGCATTACATATATGCTTCATCTCTACGAAGACTTGTTGGTTGGTAGGTATGATGAGAACAATCAAGCTCGTCCTAAACCCGAGCTTGCTCTGGACAAAATATCGCTATGTTCCATGGAATGAAAAAAGATGGGGTACCCCAAAAAACGCCACATGAGATGCTCATCAGAACAGCAAGTGCTATCGACTGGCACCATCCATGAGCCCCAGATGCCGCATCCTATCCGGGTTCATACCGGCGAAATTCGAGCGTTTCAGTGCTTTCTCGGCTTCATCGTGGTCCGGTGAGCCTGTTGTCGGGGGTGTTGCTAAGTGGGACCGGTCGCCGTTCTGAGAAGCGGGCCGACTATGCCCTTTGGCTGCGCCCTTGATGGAGAATCCCAGTTCCAAGTCAGCGCTAGGGGTGTCATTCGCAAAATCGTCGTCATTCGTGCGTGGTGTGGCTTGCTCGCTGTCGAAGTTGTCTTCTGCTGGAGGTGGAGGAGGTGGTGGCGGCGGAGCTGCAGGTTCTACAGACTCTGTTCGTTGTTTCTTGGCAGATAGATCCTCATCATCCAAGGCCGTTTCTTCACGTCTTCGCTTTCTCTCGGAGTCGATAGGAGTGCCGTCCACATCGGCATCGTCCATGTCGTGGTCAGACAATGCCTCGTCTAATAGCGGACTGCCAGGAGCAGGCTGGGGAGAGCCCGCTGATGTGTTGCCTTCATTCTCCTTTCCCGCTCTTCGTTCCGCCTTCTTCACCTCAGCTGCCTCTTTTTTCTTGAGGGCCTTCTCAAAGAACACTTGTGCATGCTTCTTCACATCCTTGGCCCTTTTGTCGCTGACCTTATTTGGATCATCAACGCGATTTTTCCTGAAGTCCGAGTCGACCATCTGCTTTGCAAATTCCTTCGCCCAACGTTTCAGATCCTCTTTTGCGAGTTTGTGCTTGTACTTTCCAACAACATGCATAATGTGTGGTTGAAGCGCGCTTTCGTATAATCTCCTCTGCTTTTCCTCCGGTAAGGATCGCCATTTCTCCTGCTTCTTCTCTTTCTTGGGCGTCTCTACTGGCGTTGCCGTGGCTGATGGCTGTTTCGTGGGCTCTTTCTTGGATGCTACAATGTTCTTGATTAGATCCTGGAGCATTTGTTGGTCGGACACGGTCTTCGGCGGCGGTGGAGGGGGTGCGGCAGTTGCAGCCATAGTGGGTCGCTGCCATGTTGTGGTACCAGCCTGTGTGTAGTAGTAGACGGACCCATTGGCAGCTGTCGTTTCAAACCATCCTGGAGGCAGTGGTCCAACCGGCGGCGGAGGTCGGAATCGTGGTGGAGGACGAGCAAACGGTGCGCGCTGTGATGCACTATTCCGTGGCCCAGTCGGCGCTTGTATACGTTCGGGAGACTTTGATCGTGACCGCGATTTGCTTCGTCTCCGATCGCCATCACGCCTATCCATGCGCTCGGCCTTTCGATCCAGTACAACTGCGTTAGGATCTCGCTTGACGCGAGGTATCCGGTAGGCGACCTCGAGCTTGGACCAACTGTCCAAGAGCTCTTTGGCTTGTGCAGACACTCTGGAATCCTCGTTTTCTACCAGCAAAGAGACAGTCTCTTCGATGTTGGAGTCCTGGATTTTGTTTCGCGTGAGCCTAGGCATCTTGTCGAGAACGTCGAGGATCTGTAGGCAGACGTTGACATCCTCGATAAAGTTTGACAAAGCGGTCTTCAAGATGCGGTAACCGTGGAAGCGGACGACCCTGTTGCGGACTCGTTCGTCATCTGCACGCTGGATTCGAGTGAGCAGCTTGACGGCGATCCACTTCTCCTTGCACTGCATGAGAGAAGACATGACTTTGTTGACGCCTTCTTCGTCGAGACCTCTAGGCTCGACATTGTTGACGTATTCTTCGTCATCCTCTCCTGCCTTCTTCTTGCGAGGCTTCTTCGCAACAGCAGTGTCCCATGCATCGGCATCATCAATGCCAAGTGCCTCAATGACAGCATTGGATAATTTCGTTGCGCGCTCGGTCTGTGTCTTGCCACCGATGAAGCCGGTGCAGTTGGGTTCACCACAGTAGCACGGCTGGGGTTCTGCGCCATATCGATCGACGTTGTAGTTGAAGACGAGCTCTTCGCCGGCCTTGATCTTGCGTTCGGCAAATATACCCATGCGAAGCTTATCTCCCACCACCCACTTGTCGACATAGCAGTTCGGATTACAAGAGTGGTTGCAGAATCGTCCGAGGTTGCCTTTCTTGGTCGCGTCCACAAATTCGCCTTTGGTGAGAGACATGAAGTAGAAGTGCTTGATGCCTTGCTCGTCGTACTGCTGCATTTTTCGTCGAAACACATTTTCGCCTATCACCTCGCCGATATACTCGAAAATGAAGTCGTTAGCTCGCAGATCGGTATTCGCACGAAGGCCATAGCCTTTCTTCTCGGTCTGAATGACGGACACGTTTGCGTATTGTTTTCGCTGGAAGCGTTGGTTCTGGCATGCGATGCCACAGTTGCAATCCCCAACGCACTCCATTTTGGTGGCGCGGTTGATGCAGTCAGAGTCCTCGCCACAGGCATGATTGGTCTTCGTTGCGGGATCTGCACAATACGCTGTTAGCATTCATGAAGACAATACTTATTTTCTCTCCCGTTCAATCAGGAATACTTACCCCACTCCTCTGCGCAGTCGCACTCGAGCGCATGCTCAGTGCTACCCAAGTATTTGTTGGCATATATGCACTCTGGAAGGACATCAAAGGTAGTGCTCGATTCAGAAGTCTTGTCCTCGTAGTCTGAGAAGAGCGGTGGTGGGCGCTTCTCGACCTTGTGCGATGTTGTCCGAGCAAGCTTCGGAGGCTTGCCGGGCTCCATCTTGAGGGTGACATCGCCGCCGATGATTTCTTGCTGCTCAGACTTCATTGCGGGCGAGTCTGTAGCAGATTGTTGCTTGATCGGAGACTTTGACTGCCGTTTGAAGCTGGCTGGAGTGCCGGTGCGACTGGTGGCAGCGGAAGCCTCATTCTTGGCTGAAAGCGACTCCGAGTCCGCCAGAGGCACGGTGTCCATGTCCACGTCTGTCTCTTCCTCCTTCAGATGCATGTCGCGCACCTCCAACTCCAGCTTCTCTTGCTTGCCATCGCCGTCGGCCATGGTGGGAAGTGGTGGTGGCGGCGACTGAGCCGGTCGGTGAAGCGGCAAAGCTTCAAGCGGAGGTGTAAGAGGCGAAGGCACCACGCACCACGACCAGCGTCACGAGCAGAAATTCAGCACTACGTCTGCTATGCCGCACATGCCAACAGTCTCTCCACCCGACAGCGCTCGCGCAGCTCAAGGGCTTCGTCGCAGTCCTTCGGTCGAGATCAACGGGTAGAGGGCCAGCAGACAGGTACAGGCACAGGGAGATGCGGCAGACTTCGATATCGCTGCGCAGACGGGCAGGACGGTGCACTCAAGTGGGCGCGAGTCGATCTTCGGTGACGGATGAATGGCTTGTACGCGCAGTGGGAGAGACAGGTGACTACTGAATATAAGATGAGTACGTGCTATGTGCTAGATGGCCCGTGGAACACAATTTCGTACCCGCTTCTGTTCGCTCTTGTTCAATGCGCACAAAGTCGGTGTGCGCTTCATGTATTTGATGTAATTGCTAGAGACAATGAAAGAGCGTGGAAAACACTAGTTGTTGTGGCGCAAACTGTGCAGAGGGAAGAATGGCAGAAGCAAAGTATTGGAAGTGGCTGTTGGCGGACGACACGGGAGTAACCGAGCTCGCAGTGAACGATTCCATTCCTCTTGAACAAATTCCCTGATCAGCACCTTCTGATCGCGACGTGTGGCCTTTCAAGCACAGAACAAGAAGAGCTCGCATGGAGTTTGCTCGCCATCATCGGCTCACTCAAGTCAAGTGTCGCACGCAGGAGCGTACTCTATGGCACTCTCTGGCGCCAGTGCCCGATGGAATTGCAAATGCCGCGGCATGGAAATGCAGTTGCCTACAGTATCTCAGCGTCGTCCGCGGGTGTGGAGGTCGATCATGAAGTGCGTAACATATGGCCCTGAGGGGCAGGCAACCTCACTGTATGCAGAATCTGCACGTCAAAGGCGTGGGCGCTTAATGTCCAATATCATTGAAATGGCGGCAGAGCGGAGGCGGGCAGCATGTCGAATGGGCCTTCTTGGAGTCGCTGCTCGTACAGCTGGACTCGTGCTGGTTCGGGGCGTCGCATGGTGAAGGAAGTGATCGATCGATCGATATCTGATGGTGAGATGGGCTCGTGGAGCGGCATTTGAATCTCTGTTCGCTGTCCCTGCACATGGCCAGTCTAAAGGCTTCGACCACGTGCTGTCGCAGGCAGAAGGAAAGGGGCTTCAAACTTCGGTCCAAGTCGACGGCCGCTGTCAATCCTGGCCCAGGCGTTTCGCCAGGCGGAGGAGATGCACAAGCCTGTGTCGCAGATGTCCAGCGGCAAGGGGAGGCATTTCACACATGCATACTACATGGGCCGTCAGCGCTCTATCAGGTATGTATTGCGCAAGAACGAGTGGACGAGAGCGTCGCGTACCGTATCGCTCGCCGTCGCGGCATTACGTGACCTTGCCGGCAGATGAGAAGCGAAGAGGGAGATGCTTCTCATTATTATTACAACCAGCCCAGCGCAGCGGAAAGTTCGCACCGAACTCAGAAGCTTCAAGCGTCCACGGTGAGAAGGGCGGGGCAGGGCACGGGCCGCCTCGGCATCGGAGGAACCAATGACGCGCGCGACGCGTTTTGTAGATCTACCGCCCTGGCATGTCTTCTTCATCACTCACCGACGCTCTGCGGCCGCTGCAAGTCGTGAGCGCGCCGCACCCGGCATTCTACATACATGTATTTCTTCCGTCGGCAGATGCAGCGGTGCGCGGCGGGGAACGCACACCTCGTCGGCGTGGCTGCGCGGCAGTAATGGCTTCACCGACGCATGACCCTGTGCCGTGCATTGCGATCATTTCGGACGCGCTGGCATTAATGCAGATGCAAGCAGCTAACACTCTGAAACCTGGATTGGGGACTTTGCAGTCTGCAGGAGACGGCTAGCCGCATATACCAGCCTTCCCTTTCGCCTGTGCACTGCTCTCACCTCGCCATCCAAACATCGTCCTCCACTACCTGGTCGGATGCTGGTGTCGTGATGCATCGACTTCTCTGATTGTTGGGCGCGCCTCTTCTTACACTCGTTTGAACGATCGCTGGTGCTGCTGGCATTTCCGAGCATTCACTATCGCGGCTGGTTTCCTTTGTTAGAAAAGCGACGACGTGACGATACCTTACGCGCCGACGGCTAATTGTTGAAATACTGTACCACTGGGACGCATGTCTTCTACCATTGCCCTTCGTATTCCCTCCCTCCCGTCCTCTTCTCGGCATGGCAGGTACACCTCCTGAACAGCCATGGTCTAATCACGAAAAGGTATCCTGCTCCGCCCAACCCACCTCCATCCCTGGCCACGAGAACATTCTGACATGCTTCCAGAACTACCTGTTGGCAGAAATAATCAAAAATGCAAATCCACCTGCGCACGTCTTATTCGACGTCCTGCGAAGCCTGAACATCCAACCACGTTGGGAAGAAATCCCACTGCCGCCTGGTAAGCATATCGTTCGTCATCTACCCAGGAGTCAGCAACATCAACCAGTCCATGTTGCAATAATGCTTCTGCATGAAGCCGTGTGCTTGGAATATTGCTCTGCTCGATCGACTGCTGATGTGTTGACGTCCAGGACGCTCGCTTAATTCTAGCCGATACGCCTTTGAAGCCCTGCGGACATCCTTGCAAATGGGAACGCCCATAGCTCCGCACACACCGACACCGCTTTCGACAGGACCGATAACACTGGGTGGCATCAAAAGAGGATTCCCACACGAAGGAGCATCGTATTCGGCAGGTGCACCTGGACCTGGCGCTGGCCGCGCGATCATGCCCAAGCTGCAGCCGTCTTCAGCGCCTACGATATATGCCTCGCAGTCCCCATCGGAGCCCCCCATCAAGCGTAAGCGAGGTCGTCCTACAAAAGCAGAAGCACTGAGGAAGGCCGAGACCGTTGGAGCGACCAGTCAAACACCCGGCGCGCCAGGCCCAACATCAGGACCAAGACTGGTGGCGCAGGCATCTTCGCAGCCAGTGGAAAGCAGTCCCGCCCCTGCGACTACAGCAGCAACAGAAGAAGTAAAGCCTGCTCTTCCAACAACTGGTACGACCATGGCTATAGCCGCGATGCTAACACCGACAGCACGCGAGCCTCAAAGTGCAAGCAATTCCCATTCGAGCTCATCGTCCGGCAAGCGAAGGCGTGCACGTGGTTCTACCAAGTCTGAGCAGGAGTCACCTATGACCCGAGCTTCCGCCTCACGACAACAACAACAACAAGAGTACGATTCGCCATACGCTCGATCGGGAGCCCAGCCTGACACTCCTGCCAGGGCAGCCATTTCTCGACATCGTGAAGACCCTCTTGGCCTGCCACGTTCAACTCCTACCACCACGGCACCACCACCTACTGATCCTGCCGACCAACCTCGAACCGCACAATAACAGCATCTAGACTAAGAGTAATGACTGCGCGACGCCTTTGCCTTCGATTATCAATCAACATCATCTTAATGCGTCACCAAATAGGCGCCAGCAATTGAAACGGCCGAAAAACCAGATATCCCATTCTCACGACAACTACGCTAGTGTCTGTATTTAAGCATCATTCGCCACCCTGTGTACTTTTACTCCGGAAAGTTTTTTGTTGTCATGACCATGCCACGACTGGATGGACGGGAGGATCAGCAAGCAAGCCTTTTTTGATTTTCCATTTCTTTCTGCACTTTTTTTTTCTCATATAAATATGGGAGGACGATTTTGTATGATATGATTATTCCTGTTCATGTGCTAGAGACCTAGGGTTTTGATGGAGGGCCAAGGGAGACAATGCGATGCGATGCGATGCGTGACGGCCCTTGGGTAGAATAAGGTACGGGGGATAGAACAGATACCCTAATCGTAGATGCGAAAAGAGAAAATTTTAGTGCGGTGCGGTGCGGTGCGGTGCGGATTTTGAGAGTCTTTCGTCCTTCTTCGACGAAAGTGTATGCTATGTTAGAGTTGGCGTTATTTCTTAATATTGCTCTATCGAGCCTTGCTATGTCTGTTTAGCTAGGACCTAGGTAAAATACGAATGCTGGCAGCTGGCTCGCTATCTTCCCCTCCTATAGGTGGATGTTAGCAACTGTGTAGTATATAAAGAACCTATATATCGCTCCTAGGTATCCTTCTAAAAGCGATCCCTAGTCTAGATTCTATACGTAATCGATCCCCTAACTCTTAATCTCGTCTTCCTATCCTTAAAAATCTTTAAGCAATCTAACTATAATTACTAAAGATCTTAACTCTATAGTATATTTCTATACTAGCGCTACGATCCTAGGCTCTAGAGATCTAAAAATCTATCTATCTATTTATCTATATAGTATCTTAGATATCCGAAAATCCTATTTATAAATAGCGAGAAATTTACTACTCTACTTAAAGTTAATAATAAAATTAGGTAGCAAGATAGTATATATAGATTATAGAAAGGGATATTATAGGTTTTTATATATTTAAAGTAAAGTAAAGGTAGTTATAAGGTAGGAGATTAGTAGAGTACTTAAGATTCTAAAATAGAATAGAATAAAATTTAGTTTTTTATTAGGTATATATAATATTTTAATTTAATTAGAGTAACGATAAGGTCGCTATCTTTTTTAAAAAAAGCGAATGCCTTATATATCTTATTAGTCTAGTAACGAGTAGGAAGAGGCTAAGGAAGACTAAGGATCTATACGGTAAACGGTCGTTACTAGGAAGTATATACTTCCTAAAGTCTTAAGTTTTACTATAGGGCATATACTATCTAATTTCTTAGATCTTTGAAAGTTAGCGCCTAAAGAGTTTAAGGACTTTTCTTAAAAAAAAAGAAAAAAAAAACTACAAACAAGGCTGCATTCAAGGAAGTGCTTGGATTTCTATCGATCGAGGTGCAGACAGGGGGGGTTTCCCCCCTGATTTGTCTGGTTGAAGCGACCTGCTTGTTGTGAATTCCTAGACTGATAGCAGTGCTCGCGACGACTGTCGATGCCTTCCTGCCCTTTCATAACGAGCTCGTTTTCCCACTGAAGCTCCCGCAAAAATGCAGATGCTCCCCAACTTCCTTCCCGCCCAGCCATTACTCGTACCTTCTCCAACAGTCACCCCTCCAATCTCTCATCTCAACTCGAACATGGAATAACAACCTCCTTCACCTTCGCAACACTTGAACCCCCCAAAAATGTCCACACCACTACGCTGCGAGACTCCCTAGCACGCTCTCGGAATCCAATGGTGTCGCGGCGTAGAACTAATTTTCCCACTCATACCCATGGATCACCCCGACTGGAGACAATACTACGATCGCTACATGGAAGAAATCGTAATCCCAAACTACGAATTTCAACTTCGCATTCGCCAAGCGTCGGCGCAAGAAATCGAATTAGTGCGTACCCATCTATCTCCCTTCTGCTTTCCCATCTTCCTCTAACATTCCCGAAGATCGAAGAAGCAAAACGAATCTTCTACCGACCAGATCTCTGCCATCTCGTAAGAGAAGCATAGGTTGCGAAGACTGAGGGGACGTGGCAGAGATTTCGAGCCGAGGCGCCTGGACATTACGAATGTATTTTTCGGCATTGTGAGGATGTGGTGGTGAGGTTGAGGCCGTATTCTAATTGTGCTGCGCAGGCGGTGGAGACTTATGGTGCTTGTTCGAGTCGGGCGTGGGGGCATGTTCAGGCTGAGAGGGAAGAGGAGGGTAGGAGGTATGCGGGACAGAAGGGGAAGGGTGTGGATAGGCCTCATGATTTTGGTGGTCATGATTTTGGGGGGAGTCCTTCTGAGGGGGCCAGGCACGCTTCGTGAGGAATTTGAGGCCGATTGCTGTGGAAGTCGTAGTGCAACTGGATTTGATTTGGTAGTGAGCAGAATTCGAGAGCGGTCGATATGGATTTCCACCCTACGCTCGCGCTGGAACTCGTGAAATTCATCGCAGATATCAATCAACCGGCAGGAATCCGCCTGGCACTGGGCATCCGCCTCTTCTCCTTCTGTCCTTCCTTCTTCCTCTTCCGCTCAATCAGCTTTTCCCGATCTTTGCTCTTCATCTTGTTGAACTTCTCCACCAAAGCCTTCTCCTTGATATCCTTCTTCTTCAAATAGTATGGATTCTTGCCTTGCTCCACCCGTTCCCGCTCTTCCTTCCTGTGCCGCTTTAAAATCTCCTGTTCTCGCTCCTTTGCTTCCTTCGCCTTCAGCCTATTCTCCATACTGCCCACCTTCCGCTTGAGCTTCTCCTTATCGTCTTCGTTCTTCGTGCGCTTTGCAGCCTCTTTCAGCTCTTTGATCTCGTCTTTTTGATAGTCGAGCAAGAAGCTATATGCCTTTTCGCTATTTCCAGGATGTGCGGACTTTTGGTGTAGAGGATCGAATCTGGGATCGCGGACCACTCGCTTCGGCACGTCGACGACTTGACGCTTGCGACTCACTTGAAACTTGGAAGACTGCGCCGTGGGAGCGTGCTTGGATGTACGCGAAGGAGCACCTTCTTCTGACGGACCGGAATCCGAGTCTGAGTCTGAGTCGTGCTCGTCCTGATTTTGATTTACCTTGGCGTCTGATCTGGAGTTCTGGCGAGAGGCGCCAGATACAGCTTTTTGGTCCTTGATTTGACGGAGTCTTTCTCTCAGTGCTTGCAGCTTGTCTTCCTGGTCTTGCGAAGTATGCGAACCTCGCTTGCGTTTTCGCGATTGTGCGTTTGCTGCATCCTTGAAAGCGGTCTGAAGAGCATCAAATGATAATCCGCTATTCTGAACAACATCACTCAATGTCTGCTTCGAGTCTGCCTGTACCTCGCTAGCATCTGAAGCAGAATCCTCGGCATCGCTCCGGCTTTCGTCGTCCATGTCGCCCATTTCAACGTTCTCTTCGCCGATGGAGTCCATATCGGATTCCTCGCCATGGCCTGAGACATCATCTGCCGGCTGCGGCCGAACGTTACGCAGTCGCTGCGCTGTCATGCTCGCACAGAGATGACATGTGCAGTGCAGACACGAAATCTTTGGAAGCTGCCCGCTGCTGATCCAGCCCTATCAAGGGTGTAGTAATTCTCGGTGGTGGTAACTGCTTCGAGCCGTGCCGCCGGCCCGCCGCCAATAAGGTTGCGATCCGGGATAACACGACACGCGACGGAGGAAGCAGGCGAGGAGAGAATCTTCCGTCATCGATGCGCGATTGATCCGCTCGCCAGCCAGATTTGTCTTCTTATTATTGCTTCTCGCACTACCGACTTCTCTTCTGCCATTCGACCTTTTGCGAGTACAGTCCTATAATACGCAACAATCATCATGAAGATCCTGACGAAAGAAGAGGAGCAGGAGCACTACAAGTGAGTTTCCGCCTGGGCGATCTCAAAGCAAAGCCAATAGCAAGCAATACTGACGCTCTCGTAGTGCTACAATCAAGGGTGGCATTGGTGGTGGTGTCGCTGGCACGGCAGCAGGTGCTCTCGGTGTATGGGCAGCTTCAACCAAATATCCGGCCTTTAGAAGTCTCAGCCTGCCATTCCGCGCATTCTTGATAACATCATCTGGAACTTTTGCGGCAATAATTGCAGCCGACTCGTACTCGAGAAAATACGAAGCCTCGCGACAGCCTGATAGGAACTACCGAGACGAACAGGCTCAGCTGCAAGAACAGCTAGACTCCCAAAAATCAGCCAAGGAGAAGCTCATGAGATGGGGATCCGAGAACCGATATGGGTTAGTCGTTGGTTCGTGGGTGGTGTCGATCTCTGCGGCTATGGGAATTGTCGGTCGCAACCCATACCTCACCACGCCGCAAAAGATTGTGCAGGCTCGTGTGTATGCACAAGGCTTCACTCTTGCGGCAGTCATCGCTTCTCTGGCATTTGAAGGAACCGATCGCGTGAAGGGCACCGGACGATGGGAGACTGTCAAGTACCTCGACCCGAACGACCCAACCCACAAGAACATTATCGAAAAGAAGATCCACCACGAGCGATACCAAGGTGAGGACCAATGGATGGACATGGTCGCTGCTGAAGAAGAGCGCATGAAGGAGCGAGAGGAGGCAGTCAAGCAGCGTGAAAAAATGAATAAGAAGAACGGCAAAGCCAAGAAGGCCCAGAACAACCACGAGGATCAACGGCACGATAAACCAGACGAGGGCGACCAGAAAGTAAACGCGGCATAGAGAGCGGGCATCGAACACGGCCGAAGCATTTTTGAGTCTCCAATGCGCTATGGCATAGCGCCGGACAGAGCATATTAATTCCACATTGGCTGGCCTGCGACGAATGTATGATTTGCATAAGCCAGGCGCAAAAGGCGTTTCACGGCCTCAAGAGGCATTTCAATAGAGCAGAGGAATGGGATTTGTACAGCATCACGAAGACGTTGGTCCTGCAATTCACGAACGTGCCTTCTCAAGACATTGCTCGCAATGTAAGCAATCATCGTCAACATCCTTCATTTCAGTCCGAATTGTGACAGTGACTGGGTTTCTCAAGAGGACTCTAGCCTGTGACGCTCTGGTTGAAATGATCAATCATTCTGACGCAATTGCCAGAACACAGATTTAGAACAGTAGATTGAGTTGAAAGAGTCTCTGCAACACATCCGTGTGTGGTCAAAAATAAGGACGAGATTGCTAGAGTATGAGGTTATTTTCGCAATCTCAGTGCAGAAAGTCTAGAAAGCATTCACATGCACATTAGTCAGGCGTGAGGCGTGGTTGTTTCGTGCCAAGCGTACACGTGGAGAAGAGCCGCAACCGCAACCGCAACTTTCATGTGAACGGACCTTCGCGATTCAATCCAAACCAACCCGTTTCAGTTCCACACCACGCCGAACTTGTTTTCCCCGGTCACGATGGCGACCCAGCAGCCGCCAGATCCCAGAGCGCTGGGTAACTGGGAGGATGCCTTTCAATATCCCCTGCCTGTGGTGCGGAACCTCGAGCAGCAACTCCGCCAGAACATCGAGGAGAATCGCCAGAAACTACGATCTTTGGTCGGAACGAGCTACCGCGACTTACTGGGAACGGCAGAGAGGATTATCGATATGGATCGTCAGATTCAAGAGGTAGAGAATCATATGGCAGAAATTGGGAGGAAGTGCGATGCCCGAATTGTGGAAAGGATTGGAGACAACCACAAGAGACTCAAGGGTGAAAGAGGACAAGAAGAGCGGTCACGATATGCAACGCTGGCGCAGACCAAGGTCTTGCAGAATGCGATTGCAGTGACGGGTAGATTGGTGAGGAAGAATGGAGATGCACTGGTGGCGGCGAAACTGCTCATGCTTGCGAGATTGCTGCACAAAAGTTTGAGCGAGCAGGCCAATCCTCCTCCGGTCGTTTTGGAAGATTGGAGACGAAAACTTGCGCAAGCTAGACAGAGACTGCTTGCGTACATATCGAGGTCATTGGTGAGGTCCAACGCCGACAAGGAAGTTACGGTGAACACATTGTGCGCATACTCACTCCTATCGAATGCGACGCCGAAGGATGTCCTGCGATATTTCTTGCAGACGAGATTCCAGCAGTTGGAGGTGCACGCCGAGACGCCTTCTGAAACTAGTCTTATGGACATGCTGGACCTCTACAGTCGCACGCTGCTCGATTCAAGGGAGTTGTTTCCCAGACGTTTCGCAGATGCGTTGTCCCACATCACCAAAGGTACCTTAGTGAGAGATCAGGACGTTCGCTCTGTAGACGAACTGAGTCTTGATGTCTATGAAAGATGGATTACTGAAGATGTTCGGAACTTCCACCCTTGGCTCAGACATGATCAGCTCGCGGCATCAGATGTGGCAGAGGCATCGGCATCCTGGACGAAGCAAGCACAATCTTGTCTCCTCGAGGCTCTCAAGTCGGCCTTGGAAAACCAAAATGATGCTCAAACTGTTGTAGCCCTACGACAGAACGTGGTCTCGAAATATCTGTCGCTGAATGCACAGCTTCGAAGCGAAGTGCACTCCAAAGCGATGAACGACCTACGCACCGCATTTCTTGATCGTCTCGAGGCCCTTGCCGAGCAAGCAGCCACCATCACGGATTTCACGCCCAACGAACAAGCATTTCGGTCACCATCGCACTCGACGAATATGTGGAATCTTGCCACAGAGCCGACGGAGCTCAGTGGCGGAGCGATTGCGCTTCGTCATGCAGTTCTGCAAAGACAACATGGCCGCACAGACACGATTTCGCACTTCACCAATGCTCTTGACGATTGGCTTGGTAGACTGCAGAAGTATAACGAAGTCATTGGCTCGATGCGGAGCAGCAAGTGGGATCTAGACCTGGACCTGGACCTCGACGATCTTGAAGACGATGATCCACTGCAAGTCATCCTGAGCAAGCAAGATCCACAGCAACTCGAAAAGAGGCTTTCCAGAGCCACAGCCTCGTCCCTGCAGAAAGCCTACAGCGCCACTGAGAAGGCTTTCGAGTCAGGACTTGATCCGACCCTTCTAATCCGCTTGGTGAGAGAAATAGACCTGCGAAGACGATGGCTGGAGGAAGAAATTGAGGATGTCAAATCCATCAAGCCCAACGCAGCATTCATCGTGATTTTGCAAGAGAAGATAGCAGTCCGGATCTCGGAGGATGTTGTGAAGGCATATCTCCAGAAGATTCTCCAGCCAACACATAGACCAATCACATTGTGGGACGGATCGCCACCACTACCAGTCCAACCATCTCCGGCAGTCTTCCGGTTCCTGAAATCTCTGCAAGCGGCAATGTCTGCGGTTGGCAACGATCTTTGGAGTCCGGCTGCGGTTGCAGCTTTGAAGATTCATAATGCCGACAAGTTGGGGATGGGGATGGGGAGGGTATTGGAAGAGATGGACCAGAGTGACGATGGTGTGGCACTGACTAATGGCCATGCGGAAGCTCCGAAGGCGGCGGAAGGGGAGAAAATGTCTGGTGCTGCTGCGGGGAAGGATCGACTGGTGGAATTTTTGTTTGATGGAATGTATTTGCGTCGCATACTGGTGGAGAAAGGGTCAGGCAGTGAGATGGTTGGTTTTGTGGAGAAGTTGAAGAGGCGAATCAAGCTTGATGCTGCTTTGATTGAGCGTTTGGAGAAGAGTGTGGATGAGTTTTGGGCGAGGACGTATCTTCTCTTTGGTTTACTCGCCACGGGATGCTCGGCTTGATGAGTCGTATGGTACAGTAGTGTACGTAGACAGTCGTAAACCCTTATGTGGCGTGGCGTGTCGCTGTATCATTCCCTCCCGCATTATTTTGCATCTCTCGTGCCACAGCAGCGGTAGCTCGAAAGCGCTTCTCTCGCTTCCGAGCTTATCCCGATTAGAACAGGAGGAAGAGGCCCTGTCAAGGTTATCGATATTGTTTTCCGTATCGTCTCTTCGTCACAACAGGGGCTCTTTTCGGCACAGAGGGTTGTTGGTGGAGGAATGGCACGCGAGACGCGAGACGCGAGGGTGATGGATGATGAGGCCGCCAGCGTTTCGAAGGAGCGAGGAGTGATTGGGCGGGAGTGAGAGCTGTTGATCCCCTGTGTTTCAGGTTTGGCGGCGCGCTATTGGTTGTGGGGTGGAGATCATCATCGTTGGTGACTGTGATGTGCTTTTCGTTGCTGTGCTGAGGGATGTTGTGTGGGTGGACGGGATGGGATTAGAAAATCGATAGAATAGTTCGTTCTGTGTATGGATGCGCGGTATGAGGAGGTGTGGAGTGGAGAGGGCAGGGCAGGGCAATTCAGAGGTGCTGTCGACTGACGCGAGACAGACCCTTGCCGTGCGTTCGTTTGACAAGCATCTTTGGAGGTTAGCACTCACCTAGAATATCCGTAACGGCGTAACCGTATACCCGTAACCCTGCGCGCGCCCGGTGTCGTCCACTCTATCGGTCTGTCTCACCATCAACGCTGCGCTGCCGCCGTCTGCGCTCGGCTCGCGCGACGCCGCAGTAGTGTTGTTGCAGTCGCTGCCGTCTGCTCTTCCGTTCATCGACGTCGCACTCGACTCCAGCGACCTCCTCCTCCACCTGCACGGACAGCCAGAGCGTGTGTATAGATCTAGTGCGCTGTCCTGCGAACCCGAACCGCCCAGCTGGCCCACACATTCACAACCAGACGCCCGCTAGCGACCCTCGTCCTCGGCGCCTGCATCCAATACGTCGCTCTCACGCCGCCGACACACACGACTCGAGCGCCGGTCTCTCCTCTGCTTCCGCCTGCGTGCCATACCGACCCCGACCCCGACCCCGACCCCGACCCCGACCCCTCTTCGCCATGTCCACCGCCGTGGCAACAGCACCGTCGACCACGCTCCCGCCCTCTGTTGAGCGTGTGTCACCGCGCCACTTCACAGCCATTGCCCCTTCCGCCTCAACACCTACCTCGGCATCCATCCACGAGCCTGCCGCCAAACGAGCCCGAAGCAATGCATCGCCGAGTGACGAGAGCAGACCGAGAGTAGAGCGCTCCAATTCGAATGGCAAGAGCTCGCCGGTTTCGTGCGTGGCCCCTCCTTCATGCTTCCGTGACACACTAACCCAGCGCAGGCGACCAAACGGGATACCGCCCATGATCAAGGTGAAGAAGGAGCCGGGCTCACCAGCTCTGTCTTCAGCGCGACCACGACCAAAGAGGCTGGATCTGTCCTCGAGCATGTCCACATCCGCCGGCCGTGCACCACAGACCTCACAAACCTCCGCCCCGCTCAGGTCTCGGGACTCTGCCGGCCTGCACATCCAAGATGTTGGCCTTGCTTGCTTATCGCCTGGCTTTCAGACCAATGATCCGAGTATGCGGGAACAGCTTCAGCGGAGTATGGATGTACGAGACCAGCAACGTATGATTATCGAGGCGAGGCAGAAGGGTGGGAAATCATCGAGTGGGAACGACACAGCAGACGGACCACGAACACAAGATAACACTCTTTTTGGCGTATCGACTGGCATGCGGACCCCGAGTACTTCGAAAAGAAAGGGACCACCCCCCGGCCTGTCAATTGCCGCCCCGAATGCTTCCCAATTTGCCCACGACAGAGTGATACAGTCGGCACCTCTACATCAAACGTTCACTGGACTCCGACCTGGAGAATATCCCTCTTCACGTCATGCTCAGCATGGTCCGAGTGGCTTGAGTCAAACGAGTCATATACACCACCTTCCTGCCACACAAACGAACAACCGACTACCTCCAATCTCGGACGTCTTCGCCAATGATCGACTCGACGCACCACGACACCCCAACAACAACTCACCTGGACATTCATCGCATTCAAACGTCCCACCGCCTGTACCGTCACCTGGCTTCGCGCAACTATCACACCATCCTCCACTCAGCGCCCGAGAACGATTCCGGTCGGCAGAGGAAGCAGTTCAAGGTCTGTCTGGAGGTCGGGATGACTTGATGCCAAAGGTAGTTCATTATGGAGGAGTGCAACCACCCACACCACCCTCTCCAATGCCAGCATCTGGACATCAGCAATCAGCAGGTGGCGCTCAGCAGGCTTCACAGCATCACCGCGACTCCCGACCAGACATTCTCGCCCGAACTCAATCAATGAATGGGCGTAGACGAGCTCGAGATGAGTACGAGCGTGACAATGGCAGTCCACCATCCGCCTACAACCGCTCCGAACCGAAACGAGCGACATTTGCCGTGCGTGGATCAGATGACGAAGAAGAAGAAGACTGGCGAGCAAACATGTCCAATGCCGACAAGAGGGCCGAATTTCTACGACTTTGTGAACGCGCATGGGATCTCTTCCACTCTTGATCTAATCTGCGCTACATATCAAGCGATTCTCTGCCATATTCTTAGCACACGATTGAATGCTTTTACATACGCGACGCCCTCAAATCCCTGTTTTTTTCTTCTCGTTCATCTGTCTTGGAAAGAGCAAGCAACACGACATCAATTTTTTTTTCCTGGCTGGCTGGATGGGATGGGATGGGATGGATGGGATGGGGTATTTGCTGTTTTTTTTGGAGTGTTGTTGTTGTTGTTGCATTTCTAGCGGGTTTAGGGGTTTTTTTTTCTATCTTATTTGTTATACAAATGTTCCAGCTTCTATCTATCTATTACTACTACTACTACTGCTGCTACTACAGGCAATGGCAAAGATGAGAATCGGAAAGGGAAAGAAGGGGGGAAATCAAAGCCTCGATTTTACTTGTTTTTTTTTTCCCCTCTCATAGGCAGGGTTGTGGTGGTGGTGGTGGTGGTGGGCGTCATCGCGAGAAAAATTTGAAGGTCTTAATGGTGGGATCTTGGGTAGGTAGCGGGGTGGTCGATGGATCGATGTGTAGGTGTGTGTGGATTGAATGGGATGGGATAGGATGGGATGGGATGGAGAGAGATGGAGTTGGGAGATGGGAGAAGGAAGGGAGATACTTGACGTTACTAGATTCTTCGAATGCAAGCTTTATGTGTGTGTCCCTTGATTTTTTTTTTGAAATTTTCTAAAGTTCTACTTGACTACTACCCTACTTACTTACTTACTATGAGCGAGAGATTCTTGTGTTGGGGAATGAACGAGTACTACTAGTAGCTTTGCGTATGGATACATACGGTGAAGTACGAAGGCAGTCCAAGGGTATTAATTCTATAGGAAGAGCCCGTCCTCCTATCTATCTATCTATCTCCACTAACTAATACCCTTCCATAGGCCCCTGCCACCCCCCCTCCTCCAGTCCCACCACCTCCTCCCCCTCACCATTCATCTGCTGCTGCTGCTGCTCCTCCACCATCATCTCCCTCCTCCCCAACCCCTCCTCCACCTCCATCTTCTCCAACTCGCGCGCAAAAAAATCCATCTCCTCGTCGAAAAACTTCCGCGGATCCTCCACGCCCATCACGGGCCCGAAATTTTTCACATTCCACCAATGCGTCAACGCGCGAAGACTCTGTTCCAGAGGTAGTGCGTCTTCCACCGTGCCGTCGACGTCGCCGACGCAGGCTCCACCCATCCCTCCCCCGCCCCCTGACAGCCAATCATCGCGGAGCTCGGCGGGCACGGAGAGCCAGACGGCTGTGATGATTTTCATGTTGGATTGGCGCCATTTTCGCCCGCAGAAGGGGACTTGGGATTTGAAGAGTTTGAGGGTGTAGTATCTTAGGAGATGGAGGGGGATTTTGAGGGTTTTCTTGAGGTGGTTGGAGGATTTGTAGCTGACGAGGAGGAGGGCGCGGTGGGTTTTTCGGCGGGTGAGTTTTTGGAGGATGCGGAGGTAGTTGATTGAGGTGGAGATGTTGCGGTAGGAATAGGTTTTTAGGGGGGTGAGCGGGAGGGGGGTGAGGGGGTAGCCGAGTTCGTCGATTTCTGGGGGGTGCGTGAAGTCGAGGGAGTCCATTGTGGGAGAGAGGATTTGGTCGGTTGAGTCGCGTTTGAGTTTTATGGGTGGTGGGGCGGCTTCGTCTTCGGAATCTTCCCTCAGGGCATCGTTGGGGTCTGGGTTTGAGGGATTGGGAGGACGTTTGTTGCGAGAGTTGACTTGGCAGAAGTAGAAGAAGTTCTTGTCTTCTCGTTCAAGTCGGAAGTGACAGGCCCGTCCAATCTCCTGAGTTTGCCATAACTTCAGTATTAACGGGACGTAGTTAGAATCCAGTAGTAACTGAGTCATGTACTCGTATTGGAGAATATGCGATACTTTGAACCACTTCAGGAGAAGAAGTAGTATGGCACTCAATGCCTTGGCTGCAATCTCTTGCGATCGCTGTTTGTCAAGTTCTTCCATGGTGTTCTCAATGCTATCGCCGTGACCGTTGATGCCATTTTCCAGCGGCTTGGTTCCATTAATACCATTGGCGTCGTTGAACTGTATGCCGGCTTGAAGACCATTTTGCCCGTTGTTCTTAGTAACGAGGTCAGTCACGTTCTGCAGCACAGCTTTCAGCAACACTATGACTACGCTCTGAAGATGCGGCAACGAGTCTCGGTAGTAGTTGTTGACCCTGGACAGTCGTTTTTGTTCGTCGGTCTGCGCTTCTGGCTGGCCCTGCTCAGCTGTTTCCTGTGGCGCGGGTTCCGGCACAAGCTCAAAATCATCCACATCATCGTCGGGTATGCTGTCGTCGGGATTCTTCCATCCACGTTCTTGCTTCATGAAATCGACGCGCGCTTCCCACAATTGTTTCATAGCTCTGGTTGCTCTCATTCGTTTGGCGAACAATTCTGCGGCCTCAAGGATGCTAGTTGGGATGTCTACACCTTCCCACTTCCGACCCACGAGCGCGTCCTGCACTTCCGTGCTTCCCTTCCCTCCGAGGTCGTTGCTACTGGCATCGAGAGGCGGGTAGAGAAATGGAAACATTTGATTCGTCTGGTAGTTTTGCTTCTTTCCCGCCTTGCCAGGACCCCCGGGAGATGGTGGTGGCGATGGAGCGGGAGTAGCAATGTGAATGGGCTGATGCATAATCGATCCAGTCCCGACTGCTGGTGCTCCCGTATGCGCCGTGTCGATAGAAGCAGCATAACTCGGCCTGCGATGCTTCAGCGGAGGCAAAATCGTGTTGTTCTCCGGTTCCAGAGGGAACAATGGAGGCGGCGGCTGATAGGCGGGATACTTGGAACTGATTTCCTGGCGAAAGAGGTGGTAGTCCAAAGGTGATGCTGTGATGACAGGCTGACCACGAGCATCTTGTTGCTCCTCCTCCTTCGTGTCTCGCAGAGATGATTTGACATGTTCAACGTCCTTGAGACCGCCAAATGATACCAGGATGGTCTTCCACGACAGAAGCAGCATCTTGGTAAGAGGAATGGGCGCGCACTCATCCCAGCGAAGTCGAGCCACGATTTGGGTGAGGTAGTTGAGGAAGTTGGGCTCCAGTGCTAGAACGTCTTGCCTCAACGCCTGGCTGTTTCCTACAGTCCTGGAGACTTCCACGAAGAGGTACATGAGGGTTAGACAGCACCACAACTCCAAGCTCTCGTCGCCTCTTCGCGGTTGATTCTCATTACGGGATAACAATTCCGGCGGGATGCTCTGGAAGTCACTTTCGCACACACTTCTCAAGGTGTCGTAAATCGTTTTCAGTCCATCGCATGAGTGGAGCGTGTCGACCATAGCAAGGATCCATTGCACTTGCAAGCTAGAAGAGCCGTATTCATCCAGACGTGACCCTCCGAATGAACTGTTTGGAAACAGGTCTTCCAACGCGCAGCCCTCTTGTCGCCCTGCCGTCTCTTCCCAGACACCCAAACCAATATATGTCAAAATCATGAGCGCCAGCGTGATGTCTGCTGGCTCAACCTCGTTTGGGTTCTGCAGCACCTCGATCCATTTCTTCGTGAACGCTCTGCGTGCATCCTCAGTGACATCAAGCCAATCTGACTTTCCTTCTTCAGTCGCCCTCCATTCGTCGTTGAATTTGGTCTTGCATATGCGCAAGTTGAACTCTTCTTGCTCGCTGTAGCTGAACCATTCTTCAAGCTCCACCGGAAAGGACTGTGAATCGCGGTAGTCGAAATCATACACTTTCTCGTCTTCAAGCAGCTGCTGCTTCTGCGGGATTTGGGGATTCGGAAAGCTGTTTCGTATGCGCTTGAGATCGGCAAGGGTCAAGCTGTCCGGGGCTTGTTCTGAGAAGTCGGGCGGGTCTGATGGTTGTGCGGCCAGTGCTGGCGGAGGTTGTGAAGGGGGAGGAACGGAATGTTCTCGCTCCAATGGAGGTCGCACGGGAACCGGAACTGCTGCTCTCGATGCTGGCAGAGCAGGCTTCACGTCCGTCTCGCCAGTCCCGATCACTACCTCAGCTTCTGCTGTGTCTACTGGTGCCTGGAAACTCTCCATTGCACCGTCGTTGCTCCCATCATCTTCGTCGACTATCGGTCTGAGTGTGGGACTCGACTCGCCGGCAGCTGGCAGATCTGGATTCTCCACCTCGTCCATACTGTGGTGAACCTTCTTTCGCCTTGCTCATGTCGGAGCAAATTGCTCGTGGAGTCTCTAGCAGCTCATTCTTCTGTACTGTAAGTCCTAGCTGCGAGGTCCGCTGCACACGCGGAGCCAGAGCTAGCCATCAGGCCTCAGGCATCAACTCTCAGCCACAAACTGAACTGGACTCACCATCCTCAACACAACAAACCTCTCGGGACTGCATCGTCATCACTCCCACTGCCTTGACAGTTGACATGGAGGCCTTAGAAATAATAATGACCACGGGAACAATGCTCAAGAAGGTCGCTCTGTAGCAAGCTCTGGCGCAACACGCACCGCTTTCCGCTACGCTCGCAAAAACCGCCCCTTCTTGAAAGAGGAGTCCAGGTGCATATGAGCTCATGCAATTTCTTCTCCTTTCAATCCGATGGGCCTTAGACCTCACTGCACAGTGCAACAATACTTCTCAAGAGGGGCGCTCTCCGAAACACTCGCACCAACAGCACTTCACTTCCTTCCAGAGTCAGAGTCATATATCCCACGCATGCGTGTATGTCTTGGACGCAAGCTCATCTGAAGCACACGTACGGAGATCTGGTTTGCACGACAACATGAAACATTGCAAAGCTCCCGCTACACATGGCGTTGAGGACCGTCGCCTGTATAAAGCTGATACCTTGGATCCTTACCAAGCCCACATGAAAGGCTCTTTTCATTGGATGGACCACGTTCTGGTCCGCACCCATATGAATACCTCTTAATATTGATGGTGACGGCTTCATTACTGCAGCAGCAAATAGGCAGGTATGGCCCCTTCTCATTTTACAACATCTGTCACTCCTTTGATATTCCAGTCTTGAATTCACACGCAGCTCGACGCTTGCTACTCAATCTCATCACGAAAGTCATTCTTTTATCCATACCATTCTTGTCAGCACAAAATCTTCTGCCAAGATGCTCTCTTTCACGCTTCTGTCGACTTTGGTCGCCTCAGCCGTGGCCCTCTCAGGCGAAGCAACATTCTATGGCGGTAACGTCCAGGGCGGCATGTGCTCTTTCTCGACCTACACCATTCCTTCCGGAATCTATGGTACCGCCTTGAGCGACAGCAACTGGGATGGCAGCGAAGCTTGTGGAGGCTGCGTCAAAGTCACTGGCCCTGATGGAAACAGCATTACTGCCATGGTGAGTAGCAAAGTCCAGAGGAAACTGTTGGATTTGGTTGACAATCGACAGGTCGTGGACCAGTGTCCCGGCTGTGGCACAAACCACCTGGATCTGTTCGAGGATGCTTTCGCCGAGCTCGCGGATGCAAGCAAAGGTGTCATTGACGTGACCTGGGACTATGTCGACTGTCCCATCTCGAGCGCCCTTGGGGTCCACATGAAAGAGGGAGTTTCCGCCAATTGGTTCTCTGCGCAAGTCGTCAATGGCAACAAGGTAATCAAGCATACTTCACCGGCCGAGAATGCATCTGCTTACAAGTTCCAGCGCACTGCAGACCTACAAGTCAGTTCCGATGGAGGCTCTACCTGGACCAGTGGTTTGAGTCGTAAAGACTACAACTTCTTCGAATTGAGCTCCGGAACAGGAAGTGACACTGTTGCTGTGAAGGTCGAGAGCATCGATGGAGATCAAGTTATCGTCAAGGGCATTTCTGTTACGGGAGGGAACTCGCAGGCCGCTTCCGGGAACTACTAGATGCATATAGCCGCTTGAGACATGTAGTCTTGACTGTAACGAAGCATGTAGGCAGATCGGCAAGCTGGACGTCCCGAATTTGCTGAAAGATTGCCAAAGCCACTTCACCGGTGAGTGATTTTTCAAGGTCTTTACCAAACTCGTTGTGATGGTGCCACCTCTTTTCATCAGGTGCACCGCTTCAGGCTGGAGGGTCCGTGTGCTTTCACTGTAGTCAACACCCGCGTAACAGCCACTACACCTTGACCAATTTCCACAACATATAAAGATGAAAGGGTGCTCACTGCGAACGTGACTTCTTGTCCCAAGATTGATTGTTGTTGTGAAGTGAAGAAGAGTGAGAAGCGAATTTGAGCAGGTCTCTCCCGATCTCAGCCGACGCGGAAGCTTCCGTCTCGAAGCTTTTGCTTCTCGAAGGAGCACTCGGAGAGCTTCAACAGCAGGCCTTCACAGTCCATCAGACACCATCTCCCCTCCCATCAACACTCCGACCATCCGCCAAGATGCTGAAGAAGTGAGTTCCATCACGGCAAATGCATTTGGCCAGCCATTGGACCCCGACACTGACCCTCCGCAGCGGCGTCGCCAGGTTTGCTCGCAGCGCCCGTCCATTCGGCAAGCCAGTATCGAAAGCATGGCAACCAAAGGCCTTTGCGCCCGCCATCTCCCAGCGCTTCGCCAGCACCGACTCGGCCAAGGACGGAAAGGTCCACCAGGTCATTGGTGCCGTCGTCGACGGTATGCGCCCTCTTCGCCCTCTGCACGCCCAGGAAAAGCTCTGCCGAGCAAACCACCGAGAACGCCATCGCTAACAACACCCAGTCAAGTTCGGCAGTGAACAGCTCCCACCCATTCTCAACGCACTCGAGACGACAAATGGCGGTCAGAAGCTCGTTCTGGAGGTCGCAGTACGTAAAAGATGAGATGCCGATATATCTGTAGCACCGCGGCGCTAATGCGGTCGCAGCAACATTTGGGCGAGAACGTCGTTCGATGCATTGCCATGGACGGAACTGAGGGTCTCGTCCGTGGACAAACCGCTACCGACTCGGGATCCCCCATCATGATTCCAGTCGGCCCAGGTACTCTTGGCCGTATCATCAACGTCACCGGTGACCCAATTGATGAGCGTGGACCCATCAAGCACGAGAAGAAGCTACCCATTCACCAGGAAGCTCCATCATTCGTGGACCAGTCCACCAGCGCCGAGGTGCTCGTCACTGGTATCAAGGTCGTCGATCTGCTCGCCCCATACGCCCGTGGTGGTAAGATTGGTCTCTTCGGAGGTGCCGGTGTCGGCAAGACTGTGTTCATTCAGGAACTCATTGTATGTACAACACTTGCTTCCTTTATTGACGCCCACTAACGCGTCGCTAGAACAACATCGCCAAGGCCCATGGTGGATGCCGGAGAGCTCCGATCCACTTGGTATCTGCTGATCGCAATACCA